TCAGCCAGACATCTCACGCCTGTAGCCATTAAAGTAAGTCGTACACCTGAACAGTAGATGTATGAAAACAGACTGTGCTGGATGGGGTCAATCAGATTTTAATTCCCACAGGGATGAGTGGCTGGCTAGGGCCAGGCAGAGAGAGAGAAGGGATGCTGTCTTCCTTGATGTCCTTTCTTTTGTTCCAGCCCAGCTCAATCCACAGTTGTGGTGGCCCCAGCTCTTCCCAGCTGGAGAGCCCAAATACCCATGCTGCCTATGGCACTGTTTGACATGGCATGTGGGTATTGGGAATGCCTAAAAGGGCCCAGTTTATATAAAAAAAAATTAATACTAAGTGCACCTTCCAGACAGTGAAACCCCTCCTCTGCTCACATGAAGAAATCTGGAACTGACAGGTTCTTTCCAGCAAAGTTTATTTAAAGAAGCCTTATATTTGAGCAGCTTCTGATACTAATCAGGGACAGGGCTGGAGCCTGAGAGTGGTGGAAAATGTCTTTGGGTGAGACTGTAGTCTCCAGCGCAGATATATTCCATTTGACAATTATAAAATGTTTTGTTACAACTTAATCCATGTCAAAATGTGAATTCTTCTGGGAACTGGCTGAAGAAGCTGGTTGGCTTCCAATCTAATAGGCTGGGTTCTGTCTATTTGGGATGTATCACTTGAGCTGATTGCAATGGAGTGTTTAGAGAGTTGATCTTGCCACTGCTCATTCTTGTGCAGGTCCTGCACCCTGGGCTGGTCCACCAAGTCCAGATGGATCTGTTTCTCATGAAGATGGGCAGCCGCCTCATTGGACTTCTCCCTGGATTCAAATGGCTCAGTTTGACAGAGATCGTGGAGGAGTTCGAGAAGCTTATGATGCAGCAGGTACATGCCATGCCATGGTCCCCACTTACTGAAACAAAACTGCCCTTTGTCTTGCTACTGGCTGGCTTTAACTGTTCACACTGCTGCATTTTAAAGGGTTAGATGAAGGCTGGCTTGTTCTTTACTTATGTTCTTTAATCAATCACATAATGTTATTGTAGGAAAGCTTATATGCTCACAAAGCAAAAAAGCAAAGCAATGACAAAAATTTAACAATCTTTGATTTAAAAATACTTTTTAGACTTTGAAAATCATTCTGAAAACATTCTCATTCTTCCATGTTTTCTAAAGACACGGTCCTGAAATGTTGCTAGTATCACACTTAAAAAGATTTTGCTACGAGCTTAATTGGGCTTACATTGCTATTAAAATGATCCATTATCTGCTAATTTCATTTCTGTGTCTAGATTGCAGAGTTTGAAGTCTGTAACAAGCTTTTGAAAGCCCTAATTATTTTCTACTATTGCAAAAACTCTACACAGTAAATCCACGTTGTAAACTGTTGACTGTAGTCAAATGTGACTCGAGGTCATTTAGTTCCAGTTTAGTCTGTCAGAGCTTTTGGTGGATGTGCTGAAGACTGAGGGTTAAGAGAACATCTGATAGGCTCACTGTAGTTTTAATTTTCTTTGAAAAAACAAGAAGTATTCCTGGGATATTTCCCATTGTCAGATAAGGAAGGTGAAGGAAGGTTATCCTGCCTCCTTGAGCAGTAGCAGACAGAAAGAGGCCTTCGTGTCAAGACACTGCATCACTGAAGAGCCAGGGCCTGGACTTTGCATAGTGGATTATTTTGTATGTTTTACATTAAATTTCTTCCTGCTATGGCTGCCTCTCTGTTAAGTGAGGCTGGGGCTGCAGTTCACCTACCCTGTCTGCTTGCCTTGTAATCTGGACAGTAAGCTTTGGTTCAGGATCTCGTGGTGTCCTCGAACATAACACAGTGGTGGTCTATTTTGAGACACCGTGCCTATAGTAAGGCACCTGGATTTCAAAGGTGCTGGGTTGTGGGCCATCCATTACCCACAGAGTGGAGTCTGTTACTCCACTCTTCCATCAGGGAAGCTATAAGCATGTAAAAAGTACCTCTGATTTTGTTTTCATTCTGGCTTTCTGACTAGTTTTGTTGGTATTGAGTCCTGTACGGTCCTTTCCTCATAAAGGATCCTGAAGATCTAACTCTAGTTGAATCTATTTTCCCACCTGCTCTTTCTGTTTCTCCCTCGAGATTGACTTACGCTACGAAGCCAGAAATCTGGAGCGCTTCCGACAAAATTTCCTAGATGTCGATTTTGTGAAGTTTCCAACTCCCCTTTGGCCTTTGGTAACAGCAGATGTTCTAGTGGAAACGTTTGAGGTAAGAATTTCAGGGTCTCAGAGTGGTGGTAGCAGTGAGATGGCCCTGGAGAGAACATGCCAAGGAAGTTTTTTTTTTTGAGAAGGGATCAGAGGCAGAAGGATGCTTTTCTCTTATTTGCTTAAGGAGAATTGGTGTCCTTCCTTGGTGTCTCTTCCAGTATTTTTGTTGGTAAGCAATGCATCCCAGAAGACAGGTGGCAGACAACTCCATCTTGAAGTGGACACTTGGCCTGAAACCAAGCAGACCAACAGTGTCTCCAGCCACCACCATGTGCTTGTCTGTACCTGGCAAACCAAACCACACTCCAAGTCTCTTCTGTGGTGGGTCAAAGCAAGGAGCTCAGCAATCTGACAACTTTCTGATACTTGCCTTAGTTCCCCTGTGGATGTTCGAGGCATGGACCAAAGCTACTCTCAGCCTTAGTTTTCCTGCATTTGATCCTGGCAAGAGTGTTTCTGTCCCAGAAATACCATCCCTCTTTGCAAAGAACAAACCCTTGCTTCTCTCATGTTCTCTATCACACTAGATACAGCCTCTATCTGGCAGGTCCTTTCTAGGGCATTGTTGCCACCTCCCCTGAACTCTTGGCACACAGATAAAGGTGTGGCTGAAGATGGGACACAGGGTGTGTTTGACTCCAGCCCTGTCTTTATTTCAGGAGAGTGAACCCATTTCACAGTACCTGCACGCGGAGATTGCCACAGAGCTGCGGCAGAGACTTGCAAAGATGGGCATGGACATGCTGCTAAAGATGGTAGGCACTTGGCTAAAGCTGGAAGTGAAGGTTGTTTTCCTGCAGAAGCTATTCAGTTGGGCTAATAACACAGTATGGCTAAAGAGAGAACCCATTTACTTCCCACTTCTCCTACCTGCACCCATGTCCGTAGGGACATGGACTCAAAAGACACTGTTTTGCCTTTGAAGGCAGCCCCTGGATGCCAGGTATCTTGTGGTAACCCAGGACTTGGGGCACTGTGGCACAGCACAGCTCCTGAAGTGGCAGAGGGAGGGTCTGTATTTGGACTACAATGTCACACAAGGCCTGAGTAAAGCCTGGCCTAGGTAGACCACTGCTGTAGAGTCTGACACAGAGCTTCCTCCACTGCAGACGGGCCATCTGCTCGCACGCAGCAGGACCAGCCTGTGCACCTCGGTCAGTGCACTGCTTAGGAAACACACTAATCCATTTAATCAATATTCACATATTGCCCAACTACTGTGTAGTGCAAAATAATTGGCAAATACTATGTGCTCTGCAGAGACTCTGGATGCAACTCAGGGAAAACAGCAATAGCTGATTTCTTTATCGGCTCCTTCTCTAAAACTGCCTTTCTGTAAGGAAGAATTAAATATGGAGTAAAAAAACCAAACCTGGCCAGATGCAGCTTCTGGCTGTCTAGTTCTTCTGTGGCTGAAATAATCACAGATGATCTGGAAAGGAGTGTTGAGAGGGTGATACAACTGTCTTGTGAGGAACCATGAGAACTAGCAGGGAAGAGTTGCAAAAGGTACTGACAGTACTGAGTGAGTGAGTGGGCTCTATATGTCAGATGAAATGCAGCTGATAACTGCAGCATTGTGCTAGGGTGATGGCAAGCCTCCAGTTCTGACTCCATGGAGTATGACAGGCTCTGAAATAGCTTTTACTACTCAGAAAAGCAATGGTGGAACTAGAATAGTTTTACGCTAACATTGGTTTCAAGTTTTAGGAGTAGAAAAGAATTAAAGAGCAAAGAAACAACATTATGTCTTTAAGTAAAACAAATATCTGTTTCTTGAATACTGTGTGCAGTTCTAGTCCCTTGCTGTCCAAGACCCTCCAGTTCAAGGGCTGTAATAGAACTAGAAGAGGTGCAGAGGAAGGCAGACAGGATGATTACTGGTGTGGAGTGGCTTCTACACTGTAATGGTCAAATGAGTTGGACTCTTAACTCTGGAAAGCAGAGAAATTAGTAGCTTATGGCAGAGATAAATGCAGTCATGAGTGCACAAGAGTGAATATTAGCAGAGGTATTTTTTTCAGGCAACACCTAAAAAAATATGCTTTCACACAATTCTAATTATTTATATGGTAGTTGGACGAATTCATAGGAGAAATCCAAGAAATACAAAGATGACCTTGGGGCAGGAAATCCTGCAGTCCCAAGTGGCCAGGAGATTTAGTGGGGAAGTGCTGTTTTGTGCTTTTTGCCAGTCCTTTCTGGTGCGAACTGCTAGAGGAGTCAGAGAAGGGCTACGTAGATTTGTTTCCTCTTAACTTGTTTTCTTTACTTTCCAATACAGTTGTTAGGTGGATTGATGTCCTGGACTAGACAAACTTACCCATTTACTGTAACTCTTGGCACTGAATGGCAACTGGCCTATTCTTACTGCATTTCTCTTTGCTAAGGCCCACTGGTGTGCTCTCAGTTTAGAGTTAATTACCAAAGAGCACCTCCATTCCCAGCTGGGACTCCTGGCTGTCCTACCTGACCTCTAGCAAACACACTGGATTGCTCCACACAGCTCTGCTGACTCCCTGCCGTGTCAGCACAGCTGGTCTCCAGCAGAAGCCATGTGCTGTGGTGCTGCCAAGGGTAACCCACCATCATTAGGGTTGACTGCAAACAGACCAGGAACAGCCCTCTGCTGTTTGCCTGGGAGTTTTGGTGAGGGCAGGTTTGGTTGGAATGAGCTTCTCTAAGACTCACCTGTCCTCTAGATCTTTGTTGACAACTTTGTCCATGCTGACCTGCACCCTGGGAACATCCTGGTTCAAGGCACGGCCCGTGTGAGCAGCAGCTGCAAGGAGCAGACGGCCCTTGTGGACCTGTGTGACACGCTCGTGGTAGAAGTGCAGCCACCGCTCCGGCAGCTCTGCCTGGTGCTGCTGGATGCAGGGATCGTGGCGGAGCTGCAGAGCGCTGACATGCAGAACTTCCGGGCGGTTTTCACAGCTGTGGTCCAAGGACAGGTGAGGCCTCTGTCGTGGGGCAGGGGAAGGCTGGAGAGTCTGACAACCCAAGTGAGGGTTTTCTCTCTATTTCCCCTTAAAATCCTCCCTGAGAGGGGCAAGGAGACTTACTAGCATGGAAGCTATACCAAACACAGGGCTAAGACGTTTCCCCACAGCAAGGGCGCTGCCAAAGTGGAACAATTTCAGTGGCCCAGGAAACAGAAGGTGCTAAATGGGAAGTATGGCTGCCACTCCCTGGTTAGGAGTGCTTCTGCTGCAAGTTAGGACTGCCTGGGAGCCACTTGCATTGGAGACCATTGCAGAATCTGTCAGGTTTTGCTAGAGAAGAGGAGGGAATGGATTAATGTCTTGATCTTCCACACGTTCCCTTCTGCAGCCTTGCTGCTGGAAAGCCCACGTGCCTTCCTCCATTTTGCTGTTGTGTCGGCATCTGTAGAGAAGAGCATGGTAGAGGGTCTGACTCAGAGGGCAGGCTCCTGTGTATAAGGAGAACTACTTTATCCTCCTTCTCACTTGAAATACATTTTCAGCTGTGCTAGAGAATCTAGTGCTAATGTCTCCTATTCATTCTGAGAACAAGCATCTGTGCTCATACTTGCCTGTTGCTGTTTGTCAGCTGCAGGTTGAATGGCTCACCAGCATATCTCAAGAGGGACACATTTTGTCTTGGTCTGTTTAATCTGCCGAAGCAAGCCAAGGAATCCATGCTAAACCATGTATTCAGGCCCATCCTGTGCTGCCAGATGTAGTTCTCAGCTACTGAGCAAGAACTGCAAACAATTGGCTGCAAGTCACCAGCGATCAAGTCCTGATTCTCCTCTCCAACTTGTTCCTCAGGGGGAAAGAGTGGCAGAGCTGATCCTCCACCACGCCCGCGCCAACCAGTGCCAGGACATCGAGCGGTTCAAGGCTGAGATGGCAGAACTAGTGACCAAAGTCCGGGGGAACACCATTGCCCTGGGGAAGGCAAGTGCACCATGTCTCATTCTCATTTACCTGCAATTCAGTGCAGCTTGGCACTGAAAACTGAAACAAAAGGGTTTTTTTGATCAGTCGTTTGCTTCTTTTTGTATTCCAGCTGCAGGTGGGAAATCTCCTCTCAAATGTCTTCAAATTATTGATGACCCATAAGGTGAGGTCCTGTCACTGTCTGACTTCAATAACTGGAAGTTTATTTGGGGAGGGAGAACTACCAGGAACGTGAAGGGCTAACCAGGAGGGGGACTGACTTCTAAAATGAACTGCTAGGAGAGGAACTGCAGGAGTGTAACCAAATGTTGCAGGCTTGCTGTTTCTCAGCATGTTTCCAGGTGTGTCGTCTTTGTTGTGTTTTCTTGGTCTTAATACTGCATTTAATGGCTGATGTTGTCTACTAAGAGGAATACTGTTGTAACACATAGTTTTTCCTATCTTTTTTTGTAGTCTCTTAGAAGTAGAAAATGAAATCTAATATATATTCCACTTCTATAGCATTGCATGCTTTCTTCCCTGGACCTCGTTCTTGATATGGGGTTATGTAACAACACCAAGCCATTTTACTGGTTTGTTAGAGGGCTCAAAGGTGAGAAGTTTCTCACAGGACAGAGATAACAGATAACTACTTATAACTGATTATTTGGGGAACAAGTTTCCGCAGCTGCAAACAACTTTGGAAATCAACAGAGCTGTGGTGGCCTGAACTAGAGGAGATGAAAAGGTTGTCAGCCACTTTGCTCACTGTGCAAAGGGTCCCTCTAAACATTCCTTTCTTAGAGGTTTTTCATCAAGCCTCATTAAGTAGGTTTCTAGTGAAATGAAATGTAATTTAGGCCCTTAAAAAGCAAGTCCTCCCAACTTAATGAATTCTTAGTGCCCTGATATGCTTTGAAACAATCCTGGTACCTGGCTGGGAACTGGGGAGTATTTTCTTCACATACAGAGCAGAGAATCATTTCCTCTGACCTATGGGGTGTTTTATGGCCATTCAGGTGAGCTGCCTCTTACACAAGTGCATATATTCAAGTATGTTGGATACTACTGCAGCCATGGTGAGCACTTCTAAGATCCTGCTATTCTTGTATAGAAGAAAAAAAAAATCCATTCCCCTTTTTGTATGAAAAACAAACTCTTGGATTCCCTTAGTGCACTAACCCTGAAACTGTCTCCTTATGTTTGGGCCTGCTGCTGGATTTCAGTGAATTCTGAAACTCCAGCTGGTGGAGTTGCATTAGTTTCAGGTGTGCGTGCGCCCTCAGCAGCCTCTTCCCTTCCCTCTCAGCTTAGCCAGAGCTGGGACCTTGGTTGAATGGGTACAGAAGAAAATAAGGTCCACTGAGCCCATTTAGTCTCTTCTGGTTCTAGGTGAAGCTCGAGAGCAATTTTGCTTCCATCATCTTTGCCATCATGGTTCTGGAGGGACTAGGTCGTTCACTGGACCCTGAACTGGACATCCTAGAGGCAGCCAAACCACTGCTCATCAAAACTGCAGCTTCTGTCCTCAAATAGACTCCTGTGGCTGCTGCCTTCTCCCTGTGTGGGGTTACCTGTGCTGTCTGTGAGCCAACATGAGGGAAGCTGAAGGTGAAGTCACTTGTGCCCTGGGGACATGCTGTGCAATGGTTACTCTCCATTAATGTTGCCTTCAGTCGTTTCAGCCGAGCACCAGGCATGGGATGATCAGAAGGTCTATTCCAGAAACCAGAAGACTTTGCACAATTGGACATTTCTGACTCATTGCACAATTTTAAGAGCTAATGTGCTCTGGTAGTTTTAAAACTGACATACGTAGCTTAGGTGCACAAGATGACTGCAGCCTGATGAGAAAAGCAGTCTTACTTGTCTAAAAGTCTTCAAAGAGATGTTCATTGATCAAGTCTGTTTTGAAATCTATCAGGTTTAATATTTAATTTACTGACTTACCTGTCACTGTGGTATAAGAAATGATGTTCTAACATCACCTAAGCAACACAGGCTGAAAAAGCCAATAAACCTCTTTGTCTTTTGTACTTTTAACTTCTACTTTTATTGTAGAAGTGTCCCAAGATCCTGCATGTAGCCGTCTGTTCTTAGTCATTTTGGATGATAAAAACAGACCAGTCATTTTGATTTTTTTTTGTTTGTTTGTTTTCAAACTTCTGTACTCCAGCACATTATTATGGGAGTTTAATTGTAAACAGCATAATAAAATATTTGCCTAGGCAGAAAAACCTAATTCCATAATAAAAAACAACTTCTGGGAATATTTGTGCTGCTCTTAATTTTTCTGGTTTTGAAGCTTAAAAGTCTTTTTTTTCCCCTCTGTGTGCTTCCTTCTATTACCCTCCCCCATGCTAGTGTCACCCTATTTAACTCAAAGACTTAACTGATATACAGATTCTTGGGGTTTGCTTCCAGTAGCTGCAAAACAAAAAGTCCAAGAATTTTCCTAATGAATCAAAAACATGTTGTGAATATTTAAAATTAAATAAAGCCAGCAAAAGAGCTAGATTATATGTGGCATTTACAGTCAGTTATTTTAATAGTAGTATTAAAATTATTTTATGGCTGCGTTTTAATAGTGAGAAATACAGTCTATGAATGATTGGAAATACTGTGATATTAAATATATTCCCAGATATACCATATGTGAAATAGCAGTAGTGCAGGCTCTCTGCAGTGGTCTGTTCTCAGATGGTTAAGCAATGAAGAGAAAGTACATAAGCAGACAATCTGCTGTTTTATGGTGATTATAAAGTAAAGGTTAATGGCACATAAATGGACTCTGAAAAATAAGTTTAGGATCGGCTCAATATATTTCACGTACTTTCCTTTAATCACTGCATATTCTATTTCCAAGTGCTTAAGGATAGAAACAGCAGTAGAGTTTAGTATCTTTTAAGCTTTAGACTTGTTTCTCTAAGTCTAGTTAGACCTAAAGTCATAAGTAGGTACACCATTGTCCTGACTAGCACATGATTTTATGGAGAAGAGAACTCAAACAAGAAGAAAAGCAAACAACCCCAAAGAAAATCTCCATGTGCTGCCAGCACCCACTTTCCATCAGTGGGGCATGTGCCCTCTTCCCTTCCCACCCAGCTCAGGATAGAGGTGCCAGGCACAGCCTGGGCCTCATCCATAAGTTATGCAGGTCTTGGGCACAACCACCCGTGTTCCTGCTGAGCAACTTCCAGCCAACTTTTCCAGAGCCTAAACAGAGTGTAAACCAAATGACGGAATTCCATGTCTAAAATGCAAACCTGTGCATCACATGCAGTTTCCATAACATGCAGGTATGTTTTTTTCCAGACCTTAAGTTAAACAAACAAAATGTCAAAGCCTTCACTTGGTATTTAGGCTCATCCCTCCTTTCTCCTTTTTTTAAAAAAAACCACCAAAAATCTGAGGATGGCTTATGCATATTATGGATCCTAAAGTTTAAAAATACCCATTTCAGCTATTAAGGCTTCTGAATAGTTTGTAAACATCTGGATGAGAGAATTAACTTTGTCTTTTATAGGGGAAAGCTGAAGGCATAGCCTCTCCATTATCCATAGAGGAATGCAGTCTGAGACTTACTGCTAAGAAACTGCTGGCAGGATGTCAAAGGACCTCCCTTTTATAAGTTTTCTTAATTTTACCTTTTTTTTTTTCTTAAGTAACTGCCATTATCACTTGTGCTGTATTCTGGCAAAAGACATACATTTTTATACTCACACTTTTTTGTTGAGCAATGTGCCACAGAAGGTGCAACATGTTTCTAAGTGTACACATAATGTCAAGCAACAACATTTAAATTTTGTATCTAGTTTGGTTCCAGGTATTACTTGAAACAAGGTATCACACATATTGTATTTATTTTAGCATAATTCTGTGTAAAATAAGAACATATTTCCACATAGCCCTGAGTGTTCCAGCAAATAAACTGTGCCACATCAATTCTCCTTCCCTAAATACCCATCTGAAAAGAACAGGTACCTTTCTGGTTACCCAGAGCTGATAATAGCATTCCCTGTGACACAGCCACTGTATTTTGTTAACCATCAATTTACCAATTCATTTGTCTTTGTAACATTCTCCTCATTTATTCAAAAAGAGCAAAAGGTGTGGTTATTGTAAGCAAGGGCCCTACCTGAAAAGGTATCCAAGTATCTTTCTGACCCACTTTGGAGACTGCCAGCCTGCCAGTGAGACTGTAGGCCAAACAGAAACCCAAGCCCACCTTTGGGTTTGGTGACTCTCCAAAGACAGTTATTTCACAGATCAGACGTTTTTGTCATCACAGTGCCTAGAAAGGGGAGCTTGTCATTAAAAAAAAACCCACAAACAAAACCCAACCAAACAAAAAACCCCACACCACTTTCTTTTTCTATTTTGGGCTTCTAAAAGTCATTCCTCCTCCTCTAAAGGAGTGGCCAACACATCTCAAGCAGTACCTACACCGTGACAGTAGAAGATCTGTACTTACCTGAAGCCCAGACTGGTGAACCAGAATAGTAACTCCAGAAAGAAAGGCATGGAAAGGACAGAGCAGTGGACATGCACTCTGTTTGCAATGAAAGGGAGATTAAAGACCTCTCTGGGAATTGTAATTCCACTTGTCACAACTGTAGCACACTGAGTCACACCTACAAGACAAAGACCAGGTCTGTGAACTGCTCGAGGGCCTCTCCCCTACTCTGCAGCTTCCTTACACTAGCAGGGATGCCCGAAGCAGCAAAAGGGACTGTTCTCCGAGGTACTGCTGGAGGTCATGGATTTTTTGGTCTTCTTTTTCCATCTTCCGATCTTCGGTCTCCGCTCTGGAACACTCTCACTTTGGCAGCCTGGTGCTGGTTTTGTTGCTTGTCCTGCTCCCGTGGTTCTTGTCCCACCATTTCCTGCTGTGGCTGCATTCTGCTCCTCAGGAACTCCTACATAAAGATATTTAAAATTGTACAGTCAGCTTTCACACCAAATTTCATCCTCAGTTTTCATCTGTGTCCAGCTCTGGGGCCCCCAACATAAGAAGGACAGGGACCTCCTGGAGCAAAATCCAGAGGAGGGTGACAAAGATGCCCAGAGAGCAGGAGCACCTCTGCTATGGAGACAGGCTGAGAGAATTGGGGTTTTTCAGCCTGGAGAAGAGAAGGCCCTGGGGAGACCTTAGAGCACTTTCCAGTGCCTGAAGCGGCTACAAGAGAGCTGGAGAGGGACTTTTTACAAGGGCTTGTAGTAATAGGACAAGGAGGAGTGGCTTTAAACTGAGAGTAAGTTTAGATTAGATATGAGGAAGAAATTCTTTACTGCGAGGCTGATGAGGCACTGGAACAGGTTGCCCAGAAAAGTTGTGGATGCCCCATCCCTGACAGTGTTCAAGGCCAGGTTGGACAGGGTTCTGAGCAGCCTGGTCTAGTGGAAGATGTCCCTGCCCATGGTAAGGGGTGTGGAACTAGATGCTCTTCAAGGTCCCTAATCATACTATGGCTCTATGATTCTATGGTAGAAGTCAGAAATGGGTATAATATGTGGATATCCATTCCTTGCATACAGAAAGACTCCTTTTATGGCAGAGATGGAGAATGTTACTTCCCATCTTTCATCTTTATACACATGTCAAAAAAAAGTTACCCTTTTTTAAATCCCTAAATGGTATAGTTTTATTGGATATAAAACAGGAGAAAGTCAAATACTCCAGATAGTGCCACTGCTGGAAACACAGCACAAGGGAAAATAATTTCTGGAATTGCCCTTACCAGCCTTTCTTTCTCTTGTTCAAAGCTCCTTTCATTGCATTCTGCCTGCAACTCCTCCCTCTGTGAACGCTGTGTCTTTAAGAACTGAAGCCTCTGACTTGCCTTCCTCTTCCCCTCCTCTTGAAAGGAGGATTCCTTCCTGCTCCTCTCAGCCCCAGCAGCCTGGAGCAGTGCCATGTGCTGCAAAGCTCTCTCTTTGTGCTCCAGCTGTTTCTCCAGCCCTTGCAATGTTCTCTGACGCAACTGTCGCCTGTTTCCAAAACAAAATTTCTCAAATTTCTCATAAAGAAAGAGCAATAAAAAAGACAGTGCAGGAGACACAAAGCAGATATTCTGGCAATGTGTGCTTAGTTAACATTCCAAGACCCTTTGTTAGGTTGTGAGGGTTAAACCTGTGTCCAAAACAGAGGTAGCAAAACTCCCAAAGGGGCTGGTGCCTGATGTCAGCTAACTGCAGTCATCTGTCCATCTGACTACATAAACCTGGTGTGGCCAAGTGTTGTTGGCCCTGAAGACCAGGAATCAAGGAAATAGATTGTGCAGGCAGAGCTGTAGGACTGATCCAGACAACTGGGTGGCTGTGTGCTGCTGGTGGAGCCACTGAGGCAATAGAGGAGAAGGCAAGAAGTGGGTCACGGGGGTAATGCAAGGTCCTGCTCAGCTTAAGTGGACTGTGGGACAGAGAGCAAGGATTTGAGAGGCCAAAGAACCTTTGGTCTGAGAACAAGGTTGAAGGGAAATTGCCCTTGGAGGTAACACTAAAGGCTACGGGGTCCATGTGTACCCGCTCCCACAAACCTCAAGAATCAACTTTTATTCCCACTAGGGAACCACTGTGACCCCTCTGCAGAGTCTGTCATAAAGCACAATGTGTGATGTTCAGAAACTGAAGAAGAGCACCAAGGAGCTGATGTTACCAACCTTCCAACATCTACCACAAAAAGCAGTAAGTTCCCAGGCATCACCTCTGGTTGTCCTTGTGCAGCTGGTGCTGGATGCCATCTGCCTCTTGCTGCTGCTCCCTCTTCAGCTGCCTCTGTTCCTCTTTCCTCCTTTTGTGCTCAGTCTTGGCTCTATCGAAGCCCATCTCTTTCCATCTCTCCTGAGATGCATCATTAAGGATTGATTTCTAAGAGGAAAAAAGCCAAACCGAACCCTTAATCCCATCAGTGTATTTTTCTAACGCAAACTGTAAACACACAAAACCAGAACAGCTTAGTTCTTATGTCACTCTTGAGGTCTGGAAGCTACACTGGCTCATGAATACTGAAGTTGCTCCCCACTCATGAACACACTGAGGATGATGCTAAAACCTATAGAAAACATTAGGCTTAACCAACCAAGGGGCGCCTGAAAATCCAATGTTCTGGTTGTTCTGGTGTTGAGCCAATGCTTAAAACTGCCCAATCTTTGTGTCAGCTTTGTGTTTGGATGGAAAACCCAGGTTCTGACCACAAATCATATTACATATTCTTCATTAGATTTTTATCAGAAAGAGAAATACCTTCCCCCCTCTGGCCAAACACAAAATATTCCCGGAGTTCTCTGCAGGTGTAGCAACTCTTCACCTGTTGTCTGAGATTTCTACTTATGCTCAATCAGTCTTGATATGTTCTTCACTAGTGGCTGCATTACAATGCTGGGCAATGCTGCTAATTTGTGTTTTTAAATGCACTGTGCTGTGCAAGGATGTGAAGGAGCCTACAAGGCTCCTTTTCATAGCCACAGTGAACTATTTCTTTCTTTCATACTCCCTACAGTGCCCTGTATGAGGGAAGGAGCAAGGAAACACCACCAAAACTTCAGACATGCATTCAAGTTTACATTCCTAGAGCTGTTTAGGGCTGGAACAGAATTTCCACAAAATATTTTCCTCTCCTTCCTCCTATTCCCAGCTGCAGTTAGCATGTTCCTGCTGTTAGCTGCCCCTCTGCAAAAAGAATGCCACCTCTCCAGTTCTTTCCTGTGGACAACTCTAATACCACAAGCTATAAAACACTACAGGACCTTCAAATAAGGTCCTGCCAGTCTCACGTAGCATTTTGATGGGTTTCTCTCAACACATTGATCTGTATGGCTTCCCAGGGGCTGTAAACAGCTTTGTTCTCCAGTGTATTGCTATTCCTTGCCAAAAAATGTACCTGGTGGGTGTTTGTGTTTAATGACATACAGAGGGAGAGATCAAAGAGAGAATCAAAGGTGTTTCATAGGTGGGAGGTGAAAAAATGGTGTTTTCCAACAGGTAAAGTACTGGCCTAAGGTTTAGGAGACAAAGTTCCACCTCAGCACTGACATGCACTCTCTGCTGTGGAATTCAGCTGACTATCCAGACTTTTTCTTTTTTGGTTTCAGTATCTGTAAAAGAGGAATAAGTTTTTTGCTGTCTAGTAGAGCTGGCAGAGAGTTTTATTTAGAAAAGATTAGATCTAAAATAAAAAAACCCTCTATCAAAAGTGCTGAGTAAAAATACCAGAAGTACCCTGCCCTGTACAACATGGGTTCCCAAGTGGAATCCTTAAGGTTTTATTTATGCATAACCATTATTCTACACAGGCATAATTTTTGTTGCAGCAAAAACCTTTGCAGGACATCAAAGGAAAGAACATTCTCACACGACATAAACAAATCTCCTGATTCTGAGAGAGCTAAATCTGGCTTGGACCAAATACTTACTGTAATGCTTTTGTGTTTTAGAAGGTTTAGAAGTTTTGTGGATCTCCTAGCCAGCACACTGGTGGTGCTGTGTGGTCTCTGTACACGTAGAGCTGATCTGATGGTCAGGCTGTCTTTCTCTAGCGATTGATTCACTTGGTCAAAGAAGCTTTGGCGCCTGAAAGGAACCAAAGCACTGGTTCCCAGGGAAGGGCTCCTTGCGAAATGCTGGACTGGAGCTTCTGCCACTCTGGACTCAAAAAGACCTTGCAAATAAATTAGGGCAAGGACATATAAGAATATAGGAAGCTTATAAAAAGAAAGCAAGTTAAAAGAACAAAAGGTCTTCTCGTATAAAATATATTCAAGTAAGACTTTTATAACATTTTCCTCTGAGGGACAATTTTTAGTCTTCACAAAACAGGTCCCAGCTTCTTTCCAGAAAAAAGCTTACTATTGCAGTCAGGGAAGAGTTTTGCCTGGTAACACAGGACTTTTGACTGCACTTAGAGCTACTCAGGCTAAGAGATTGTTTACGTGGTATTTCACAGACAGACATGGGCTGCTCTGAGATGAGTGAAAATGATAAATCTCTTGACAGGGCAAAGCCTGAGCTGTACATCCTGCTGAGAAACAGGAGACATTAGCTTGGGCACAACGCTGTGCTAACACAGCTTTTGGGTAGCTGAGAACATGAGCAGAGTTTGCTCACACCCTTCTGCTAAAGACAGTGTGGATCTGAGTGGCAGCTGTTGCATGGAACGATGCTGGAACACCAGCTGGGAGGAAATGTGCACCCCTGTGTGACTTTTCATTCTCCCTCTACCAGCAGTGTCACAAAGCAACAACAGAGAAAGCTCTAGGCTTTCAGAATCCTCACTTAAATGCCTGCCATTGTCAGAAAACTAAAAATGAGCACAGCAACACTTTGATTAAAATTGTCCCTTTTGGATGTTAATGGAACAAAAGGTTACTCAATGACAAGCAATAGTTTTCAGCACTGATAAGAGGAGTGTTCTGCAGAACAGTCCTGGTGAAATCTTTTTGCTAGAGACAGTAATAGTTAATGCTACAGATTAATTTGTAAAGTAAAGAAATTTTATAATAAATAGTACTTATACTGGGTGTTATGATAAAGGTTAAGAAAACCCAAAAGCTGCTACTGCAGTAGCTGTAAAAGCCAAAAAAAACCAATTTCCATCTGAAAAGTCTTTCACCTTGAGACGATGAACAACTTCTCAAGCTAAAGCACTATTAATACCTACATATAAATATACTACATAATGATGGCCATAGTCACAGCATGGCATTATGGCATTTCCTTTTGAAGCATCAAGATTTATGGCAACAGATCTTAGACACCATGACCTGCTGCAGTGATATTGTGTGGCAAGTGTTACATTTGGGTAAAAGAGCTACAGTTCCACTACCATGCTCGTGTTTAAAATTAGCTTCAGTTTCAGCATCCTGCTGTCTGCTGTGTGGTTCCTCCTTGTGATCTGTCTCCATTAACCAGCTGTCTGTGTTGACAGCAGTATCAACCATAGCATGAGCCATCTCCCTCTGAGCACCCTAGAAATAACAAGAAATGCATTCATAATCCAGACCTGATAAAGAAAAGAATAGGTTACTTTCATGAACTTGCAGCAGAAGATCCTAAGTTGTAACTGAAGTTTAAGAAAATCAAAAAAGACAAACCTTGGGGGAGTTCTTTACTAAAGAAACAACTCTTAGGTAGAGTAATTTCTGGTCACTTTGTGGGTTTGTCTACACCTCCAAATGACCTAAAACTGGCAGTACTTCTGCTTGGAAGGGTCCAAACTGGTAAAAAAGAGATCAGGCCAGAGGACCTCTGGTTGAAAGACACTCCTGTTTCTGGCACCTGCCAGAAATCAGGATTCTAACCCTTGCAGAGATAAGCTTGGCAGCAGCTGGTGCACATGAACCTCCTCCTTACTGATCCTCGCCCTGTTCACAAGCACCAAGTCAACTGCTGAGGATAACTTAAGCCTCTTATGGTCTTTGATTGAGAGAGGGGACACATCTAACAGGGTGGAGAAGTACCTTAATAGAATTATGTAAGAGACTGTCTTGGTGTGGAGCAGTCCTTACTTTAATCCTTATCCAGTGTCAAGTCTTCTGTCTGACACTTTTTTCTGCCTTTACCTCCTTCATACAGAAGCAGGATGTAGAGAAACTGGGCTATGCAACACTTCTTATATTCTGCATCCATGGAAGAGATTCTAGAAGCCTGCTCCAGCCAGGGACAATGACAGCTTATAACTTTTTCCCTGATCAAAGGATCAGGAAGACAGTGCAAAGTCTCTCCATTCTTTAGCAGGCATATATAGGGACCAGGCCTAAAACCTCGAGTAATTTTTTGGTACCAAGGGCAGTAAACTTCAGGTAACAAAGCAGATTTATAAAAATAGCAGACCACACGGTGACAGAAAAGCCAGGGTGAAACATTTTTTACCTTCTTAGGTTCTATAAACTCATTGTCCTCTTCCAAACAAGACCAAACGTCTTTTGGAACATTTTCTGTCTCTAATCTCGTCTCTTCCTTTTTCTCTTCCTCTCTGGAAACACTTTCTGAAGATGTAATTCTCAATTCAGACAGTTCCTCTTCTATTTTCTTGCTGAGCAGTTCTTCAGCCAAGCCTGTTCCTGGGATGAAGGCATTTTCCTGCTGCACTTTGCACCCTACAGGCCCTGTGGGTTCCCAGGCTGCCAGGCAGCACCGGGGGAGTGAGGTACACTCCCAGCTGCACTTAGCACATAGATGAGCTGAATACAGACCCCCTGGCCAGCAGTCCAGGTCTGAGTGACCCAGTCTGTAGTGGCCTGAGGCTCTATAACCTGGTGTCACAATGTATGGGTAATGTAAGCTTGAATCTACCACCATCTGCCTGGCTGCTAAAGGCATCTGCAGTTCTAGGATGATGCGTTCGCTTAAGGGCAGAGGAATCTGCAGAGCTTGGTCAAAAGACACCTCCTTGGTCTGCCCATTCCAGAAATTCACAAGCACTCCACTTCTGTTGTGTGCTGTGCGTATCAAAAACAAAAATAAAAAGGCAAATAATGTATTAGCAGCAGAAAGCTGGAGTTAAAAGTAATGACTCGTGTTTCAGATAATTTTGTAACAACTTCTATGAATTTTTTTCTTATAGGTTTTCTTATAGGTTTAAAATGTGACCTTCTTTTGAACTTCCTATGAGGAGACAGGAGATAACAAAATTCTCACTTGTCACAGTGAGGCAGGATTTTACCCTGAAATAGCAGGAAACTAGACTAACAGATAATCAGGTGAATACTCAGGAGGGCCAGGAACATTTTTTGCTTTGTGTTGCCCAACCCCCAATATTTTAGGAAGTTTTCACTCACAGAACAAAGCAAACACACATTCTAGGAGCTGCATTAATTCTGACACTGAAGAAGAACAGGCTGCTTAGTGCCAACAACACGAATACAGCGAAGAGAACTCAAGCAGCAGGTGGGGAACTCTCCGGGATGGAGACTGTTCCCTTCCCCGTACAGTGACCAGCCCCCGTGGTGAGTCCAGCGCTACTAAGAAAACCAAAACACCCCGTACCTAAATGTGCCTCCTTGCTCTCTACAACCTTTAGCACAGTGCCGGGGCCAAAACGTTCAGCTCTAGCCTCCCACGGTGCCAAGACCCTGTCTCCTGGAGCGAGACGCCGTCTCCTGGCATCCTCGTAGTGGAGAATGTCGTAGAGAGGCGTTTCCTGCAGGCGGAGCTGTACCTTGCCTTTCCGAGCACGACTTTTGTCAAACTCAATTACAAAGCGTTCCCTGGAGCCCTACAAGAGTAAAACATGCGGTTTGCAAGGCAGACATCTGGGTCCAATTAACGGCCAAACATTAAGTGCTAAGAGGGAAGTGGCAGTAATCCCAGGAAGCAGGACGTGATCTGGAAATGCAGCTTTCCTCTTTCTACCAGATTTTTCACTGCACTGCGTCCATATTGGATTCAAAAGTAAATAAAACGCTGGGGGTGACAGCCTTTCTCTTCCTTTGGATTTAGATTTTAGTAAGAACGCAATTAGCATGCTAAGGCAGAACTTTACCAGGAAAACCTCCCAGAAGAAAATGAGTACCCAAAAGAAACTGTTACGCATAATGCAGTTCTCTACATAGCAATCAGAAGGGTAACAAACCAGTAAAATATCATAACTGTCAAAAATTGAAATGTTTTAATTTGAGCCTTCAGCAGTGGGTGTGGGGAAGACCTGTTACTGAAATCTCAGCCTTGTCTGCAGATCTGTGAGTGCGTTTACACAAATAATACTTTCAGCTCCTACTCCAGTCATGCCACTCGTGCCTGTAACTGTCCCCCTCTGTTCCACCCCACACTGGAGCTTACAGACATCCTCACCTACAGTAGCATCAAAGTTCAGTTGAATAACCTGCAAACAGCAAAATGAACTGGGTTTTTAAAGAAAGCCTGCAGGGCAGTTTTCCGTCTGGCATCCAAAATCACCCCGCAATTCCCAGAAACATAGATGGGAGAGAATGAGGAAAGCTCTCAGTTTGGTAAAGAGGAAGTGAACCCTGGAGACAGACATTTTGGATTACTAGTTGCTATTTAGCTAACTGACTTTGCTGCTAGACTGGGCAAAAGTAGACAATAGGGATAAGGGACCTGTTCTGTTTGTTTCTGAATAAAACCTTATTATAACTACAAAAATGGATTGATCTCCAGGCTCCTTTTTTCTTGCAGGGTTCCTCACAGTAAACAGCCAGTCAGCATCAGGTGATCAGGTAACAGATTAAAATAGGACGTGGGGAGACAACAGTGGTTGTGAAGTGCACTGTGTCACAGGAGAGCCACCCCACAACAAAGGCACGTGACTGGTGAGGAATGAGGACAATGGGGAAAAAACCCCCAGATGCCCTTATGGCACAGTTCCCAATAAATAGTTACCTTCACCTCTTGGGCAATGTGGCCCAGGTAGTAATAGCCATCAGTTTCTCTCCTTGCCAACACACGAGCCCCCCTCACTAAACTGGATGCCTTTGGGGATGAATCAATGAAATTACTCTTTGCTGAGGATATCAAGGGTGCACAAAGAGGACCTGTTGGGTTCCGTGTGCAAACAGGAAGGCTGTGGAAAACAAAAATACAAGAAGTAATAAAGACCTTGGCAACAGAACTTCTGTAACTTACTGCAATAAAAACAAACTAAATCAATATGGAGCACACCCTTCATTCTGCAATAACTATCTTTGATTCCCAGCTTTTCTCTTCTCTGCTTTTCCAGTAACTCATCTACAGATTTTGAACTTACTATGTCTTTGGACATCTTGGCAGCAGAGAGCCATGGGAATCTTTATTAGTGTGACAACACTGGACATGTGAGATGGACCTGGAGCTTACCTGGAAGGGGGAAGGAGGAGATGGAAGCAGAAAATGAGCATGATTTTTGAACGCTTACATGCTTAAACTGGAATATTGTTCATAAAGTTTACTTTCAGTACATTACTTCTCTCTATAATTCTTCTACCATATCTTGTAGTACTATGCTGCTTATCTGTAAGTTCACCACAAATGGTTTTGATTTTGAGAAATCAATTTTGGAAAGAAGAAATATTAAAAAATAAAACATAAGAACTATATGATAACCCCCCCCCCTCCCTGTGTTGCACCTGGTTTCTAATCATCTGTTAGGTATGTAGCAGGGGTATCACTGTTTCTTCAGTCATTATGAGATATGCTGTTCAAAGGACAATGTGTCATTCCAAGGACACTATTGTAGGTGTCCATTTTGGCCCATCTCAGATCCTATAACAGTTTTAGTCCACTGTGAAGGAGGCACTAGGTGTGCAATTCTTGAATCAGAATAATTTTACTTTCTTACAATTCTTAAATCGGAATAGTTTTACTTTCTTACTAATCCTTACACCTTTTAGCTGACTGATTTTAGTAAAGAGCTTTGAACCTGGAAAAGACACCCATTTCTCAGGACAAGGCACAGCTTGGAGACAGGCAGCAGAAGAGGGGGAGGGCGGGGGTTCTGGAGCTGCCTCTCCCATCCCCGGGAGCAGGTACTCCTCAGCAATGCAGGCACATCAACCTTGCTGGCTCCCTCCCAGGCCCTCTGCCCCTGGCTCTCCAACAGCAGCGTGTGGGCAGCAGTGGCCACGTGTCCATTGCAGCTGTCCAAGCTCCCCAAGCCAGCAAGAGCTGAAAGGTCAGTGAAAGGACCTGAAGTCAAGGAAGAATGAAGGAGCTGGGGGTTGAGTCCAGGGAGACAAAGTTGCCTCTGCAGGTCAAAGGCAGCAGTGGAGACATCTGGCCCGAGCAAGATGGAAAACACGAAATGTTTGAGAATGGTGACACAGGGAACAACATGCCAGGGACAATGAGAAGGCAGAAAGACAAAATACGAGGCAGTTGGAAGGTAGAGTTGACAATAAAACTATGAACCTTATATCAAAGCCTTGAGCTTTTAAGGAAAAACATAAACTTGGTATGGAGCATGTTGCAGCATGTATTTGCCTTGATCACATGTTAAGTAAAAACAAAGATTGAACAGTTTGCTCTGTTAACTGTTGCTGAAAATGCATTAGGGCTGTTCTGAGGCTCAGATGAGCAAGGAAATTAAAATTACTTAAATACAAAGATGTCCACTGCTGTTTCAGCTGAGGATGTCAGCTGTTTGGGATGTTAACAGAATGAGATTATGTTACTTATTTAAAATACAGTATTTGATATCCTTCACTCAAGGTGAAGGATAAAACAACACCAAAATCTGCGAATCAGGGTCCACTGGCTGTAGGCAAAGCTGTACAGTCACTAGCAAGGAAAATGGAAAACCTAAGTGAGGCATTTGTTCTTTCCTTGGGACCTTCACCCCGCACCTGTCAGAAACACGTCCTTTGAAGTGCTGGTCTGCAAAGTTCAATGAAATCACTTCACAGGCAAATCTTTCCCTGTAAAAGTAAATGGAGCCAGAGCAAGATATACCCAAATTTGACTCCAAGTGTTGGCAACGATGCCTTTTGCTCAGGGGCTACACAAAGCACTGTCTTTCCTCCCAAGCAGGGATTCAAGGCACAGGTAATATACAACTGGAAGGCTGGATATGCCAACTCGGGATGTCAGGTGCAGCCTGGCACAGAGATGCCAAACCTATTTAAAATCTTTATCCACAGACTCCTTTGTTCACAAGCTGCCAGGTAAAACAAAGTTACTCTTTCAGAGGGTCACAGAAACTTCCCCAGTTTGCCTTTGTGAAACGTCATCCAATAAAGATTCAGGAGGAACTAACAAGTCTGGACCAATCTTACATTAGCAGCATACCTTGTCAGGAGGAGTAGGGGGGAGTCTGATTCCTTGAAAGGACCCCTCTGATAGTCTGGCTACTTTCTCCATTATTTTTTGCTTCTTTCAGGATCACCTGGATGTCCCAGGAGGCATACCACACGTACTACTGAATGAAACTGGTTCTCCACAAGAAGCTGGCATATTCCTCCAACCAGATACACCCACCGGCAGGCTGGTTCTTCCAATGCCACGTTCCCAAGGCGCAGGGATCGAACCCAGGCTGCAGCTCCAGGGACGCTGCCGAGTGAGCACTGACCCCTGCAACACCTGTGGGAAAGGGAAAAGGGAAAGAAGAACAAAAGCCCCTCACACGCGCAGACCTTCGCTGAGGCGGGACAGGTGGGAATTCTTTATTAGGTGTATCTGTGCTGAGGAGCCCCGGAAATCGCCTCTGCGCTCCCACTGCTAGTCTACGGGGCGGGAAGAGGCTCCGCACCTGGTGCTCCTTCAGGGCTACCGCCCCTTCAGGAACGCTTCAGGCTACATCCCGACACCGCATCCCGCATCCCGGCCCCGCCAGGGCGGGAGGCACCGCGCGCGTGCCCCGTTGCTACGCAACCGCACTCCGCGGGCTGGACCACCCCGGGCGCCCAGGGATGGACACAGGGCCGCCTGACTCCTTTTAGCCCCTTCCTTAGAGACCAGCAGCCGGCGCCGCCTTCTCCCCGAGCCCCAAAAGCGGCGATTTGGCCGGGGAAGTCTCCCCGCTCTTCGACCTCCGTGGGCGACGGCAACTTCTGGGACTCACAGGCAGCCCCCAGTTAGTGCCGCCGCGCCGCTCCCGAGTGCTGGGCAGGGCAGGGCAGGTGTGCGGGGACAGCGACGCGGTACCCCCGTGCCCCGCGGAGCCTCCGAGCCCCGGGACGTTCCCGAGCCCCGGGACGTCCCCGCCCCGGGGTGTCCCCGCCCCGGAAGGCGGCGGCGGCTCCAATGGGCGCGGCTGTTGCTGGGCGGTGCGGGTGACATTGGGCACGGACATGGTGGTGGCGGCGCTGGGCCGGGCGGCGGCGGCGCGGCTGCTGCGGGCCGGGGTGGCCGCGCCGGGGCGGCGGCGGTGAGCGGGGCGGGTTTGTGGGGGGTGCCGGGGGAGCGGGGCGGGTTTGTGGGGGGTGCCGGGGGAGCGGGGCGGGCTCAGGGGGTTGCCGGCGGGGCCCGTACTGAGTCGGGGCCCTGCGTGTGCTGCAGCGCGGGCGGCGGCGGGGTGCACATCGCGCCGCGGTACCGGCAGGTCCCGGAGCTGACGCGGGCGCAGGTGATCCGGGGCGAGTTCCTCAGCGGCCTCATGTGGTTCTGGATCCTCTGGCACTTCTGGCACAGCTCGGACATGGTGCTGGTGAGTCCGGCGTGGCGGCGGCGGGGGGGGGAGAGGGCCGGGGTGGGGTCCCGGCCGCGCTCTGACCGCGCCTCTCTCCCAGGGACACTTCCCGTATCCCGACGCTTCGGCCTGGACGGACGAGGAGCTCGGGATTCCTCCGGACGACGAGGAATAGGCGCGTCCAGCCGCGGGGGCCGGCAGCACACGGGTACGGCTCCCGCCGCCCCCCCCCGCACGGCCCCGGGCTGGGCTTTGCCTTGGGAGCTGCGGTGCAGCCCCGGGGCACCGTGCCCGGCTCTGCCTCCTGCTGGCACCGCCAGAGGTGCCCTGCTCTCAGCGAGTATTCGAGCACTGGTGTAGGAATACTGCTGGAAGCGGTTGCCCGAGGTGTAAACGTGCCCAGTCTCTGTGGTACAGAGCGCAGGTGTTTGCACTGTTCATCGCTGCCTTGTCTCAGGTGCCCGAGTGCTCGAGACCAGGTAGTCCTGTTTTGGCAATATAAGCCTGCAGTGGTGTTTTTGAGTTGTACCTCAGCTGGTACCAGTTCAAAATTATTTTCTTTAAGCTGTTCTGTAGGCCCAGCATTACCTAACCTTGAGGGCATGCTCTCTGTGTTTATAGGGAGATCTGTCCAGATGTCCCCTTAAAGGTTTGAGGCTTTTGATTGTCTCCAGTTCTTTAATTACCCAGTCTTTTAAACTGTTGTGTCACATATTAGAGCTCTAAAACCAACAGCTTCAACTACTGCCAAAGGCAGCATGGGCACTATTGAGGGGGTCCTTCTACTCTTCGTGGTGGGAAAAGGATGGGCGAAAAGGTTCTCAGGATTCTCTTCTGTTACTTTCAGGTCCCTGGAACTAATGAGGCTCTTGGAACCAAAGTTTTGGCTCCTGGGTCCTTATTTCAATAAAACTGTAAAAAAAGTCTCAGCTAAATTGTATTTTTTTTCTTTTTTTTAGTAGAATTTCTGGAGAATGACCACTATGGCTTCAGAGGTGGGGTACTTGAGTCCACGTGAGCTTCTGTAATGTCTGCTTGGTAGAGAATATGTTGGCCCCAAGAAAAAAGGTCTGTGAGTGCATAGTAGGTAACAGTTGCACCATTAAAGCTCTGTCAAATAACCAATAAAAGGGTGGAGGGAAGTTGCCACAGAAGCAGGGGAATTTACCCAGAAGAGAACCCAGAGCAGCTGGTGCCAGGCTTTCCCCAGGGTGATGGGGAATCGCCCTTGAGTACATAAAAGTCCAGAATAATCCTTGTGAAGCAAAACCCTTTGCAAAGGTAAAAATGCCTTAGGGCTCAGCACAGCAGTCAAGGAGGCAGTGGTCCAGATTAAGGAAGCTGAAGGGAGATGGCATCCCTTGATTTTATTTTCTTCCTTCTCTTTCCCTTCCAGAGTTACATGCTAGAGTAACTTTTTCACTCCCCTTAACTACCTTAGTTGCAACCTCTCCAACTTCATGACACAATAAACAATCTACTTCAGACTTTTCCATGCAGTCAATCTTTATTATAGCAGTATTCTCATATTCACATCAAGTACATAGAACTTTTTGCCTTTCATATAATACAGAGTTCTTTAAATAACTTTACACAGAAATAGTTTTCTTCAATCTGAATTCAGCTATCAAATTTTAATATGTTTTAAGTCTCCATGCTCTCTAACCAAACTGGACAATATTTCCCATTGTACAAATTTACATGAGAAAAACTCCAAAGTACAAATGGAGGGACAACAAAAGTAAAGGGGGAAGGAACAAACAAGAAAAATAAGTTGTATTGGCAATTACAGGGGAAACTTGAGAAGGAACAAAAGGGAGTTGTCATGACCTACGTAACAGGAAACCGAAAATAAACGTTTTGTTACGAATTAAAAAATAAATACAAGTTTCAAAACAATTACTCCATTGTAGATTTTAAAAAGCAGCTATGGAAATCTACTAACACAATTTTTTGTTTTTTTTAAGTAACCAGACTGGACCTTCTACTTTGCAGTCATAAGCCCCTTGCAAACCTCTGGTGGTCAAAAAAAAAATACAGCTGAAAGGAATGTGTTAGCACAGAGTTTAAAGTGGTGGGTCAAACATTTCATTGCACTAAGGAACAAACAAACAGAAGAAATTAAATCTGTATATAAATTTCCCTTTCCTCTCCTTACTACATACTTTGCCTCTCATAAACAAGCCTCTGTATTATGAGGTAATGCCATTGTCTTGACTATATATAAAAATAATAAAGTTTAAAGGATATAGATCTGGATATCTATAAACTTTAAACAAGCCAGTCCTCCCTTACTCCCCCATAGGGTCCAACTACTGAGTGCTACACCTTCTGTCATTGCTCAGTGCATCGTGCCTCTCCTGGGAACCCCCAAGAGACCCGTGCCCCTTTCCTAATCTAGGAAAAGCAGCCTGTGCTCAAGTGAGACAGAGAGACAGTGCAAGTAATGCACCACAGATCACACACACCCACACCTGCTCCTGCAGAACAAGGTAGAGTCACAGAAGGCAACAGTGGCCAGCCTGCATGTGTGTTTGGACAGGGGAAAAGGGATCCAATTAGGCATGATAGCTGATTAGTTCTGCAATTGTTCCAGAATAATGTCACCTGCCCAGCCCTGGGAGATGGTCACTACACCCAGAATGAGGTGGGAGGGGAGCTACAACTGGAGGGCAAAGGGCCAGGAAGAACATTGCACTTGGAGTCAGGATGACCACGGCACAGGTGGGCTGGCTCCGGCATCCCAGACTGTGGCAGACCCTGCTCTAGAGGCACAGGTCAGCACTGGATCCCAAAGGGATTTCAAGGGTGGCAAGATGTATGAGGCAGGACTTTCCCCAGTCCCAACAAATGAGATCAGAAGAACAGCAACATTAATTTGGGTTGCCAACACATGCAAGTTGGCCACTGTCAGGTTTCTGTCAATTGAGAAGTGTGGAGAAGGGGGGAGGAAGGGGAGGCAGATAGGACACAAGGCTCATGAAGGAATGATGTGCTTTTTTTTTTGGTTGATTTTTTTTTGTTTCTTTTTTTTTTCCCCCTAAAGGTTCACAGCTTTGAATAAAAAAGCACATTTATTGCACTTACACATTTTAGACAGAGTTAGTTTAAATTATGCCCTCAGAACCCCCCACCATCCCAAAATAACCCAACACCCAAGTTTGGTCCATTTTCCCCCCCAGACCCACCATCCATGCCCAGATGATGGGCTTCATTTCTTCTCCTAATTTTCCACTGAACTCCCACACACTCAGATGGATTTTCTTTTCAACTAGGGTGAATACACAAATGCAACACAGAATGACATTTAGCAAAACAAAACCTGACCACTTCCCAAACCCAAACAAAAAGAAAAAAAAAGAAAACAAAAAAAGAAAACATAGTTACTTTTGTGGTTTACTTCCTCAAAAGTAAATGTCACACAAGGCTTATTCTAAAGTACAGCTGCTGCAAACATGACAAACTAGACAAAATGATGGACAGGCCACTGTTGGCTCTTAAGGAGATTGGATGAACAGAACACACTGCTGCTGGATACTATGAAGCAAATACCTAGGTAGTTTAGAAGTTTCTAAACCCTCCCATCAGCTCCCTTCTCTTAGGGAAAGAGTTTCTTTGAGATTTTCTTAAGAAAAAAAAAAACAAGAAAACAACTACCTCCTCACATGTACTTTTGGTACAGAATCTGGGGTAGGTAGAAGGATTCCAGATAGTTCCTGGAACATGAGTAAAACATTTTTACACTTTCCTTTCTAAAAGGAACAAACTCAAATTAAAATTGGTCTGATATTTCAGATGAACTGTGCATTTGGACATAACTTTATAATTTACAATTATGCCCAAAGTCTTGCCCCAAAGAAAATGAAAAGATCTGAAAAAGCACTAATACCCAAACCATTATTTTGTCCCTCATGGACAAGTAGGTTAAATATGACACTGGTATGTAAGTACTGCCAAAAGTCTATGTAATCAGTTTGAAATTTGAACTAATCAAATTCACACATACTGGCCGTCCCTCAGCTGACACAACACCTACCATCTCCCACAGGTAATGTGCAATAACAGGATGTGATCACTGAAAAGCAACTGCAAGAGGCCCAAGGAAGAACTGAGGAAACCTGCTGATATTCCAGAAAACAAAACTTACTGCACTTTCTGGAACAGGGAACTGACTATATGATATATGTGGACTTTCATTACATGAGTACTAGCCATCACTTTCTCCTCATCTAGCTCTCATTTTTTATCTACCATCTCATTCCAAGATGCTATAACACTGTAACTTTGGGTCTCTTCAGAGCTTTCTATTACTTTTCTTTGACAAGGTCTCCCTGTCTGTGGAGGGGGAGGAGGGCTTGTTTTTAAATTGAATGAACCTCATTTAACTGTTGACAGAGCAGATTTCAAGCAGCAGGTTTACTGTAACTGAATTAGGTATCCTTCAATTCCTACCTTTGAAATGCTAATAGGTATCCTAGGGAATGCTCTGCCCTCCTTGCTCCTTTAGAGAAGTTTACCAACTCGAAACTACCTACCTATAGTGATAGCTATATACAAAACTTCTGCAGCAGAAGTAAACCAAAGACACTGCTCTAGTTATAAAGCACCTGGTTTACATTCTGTTGTACTTTTTAAGGTTGCAAAGGCACATGATCATTTGGCAAACTACAAAAACAGGTTTGGGGGTCCCTCTGTAAACCCTTTAACAGATGGTCTTGGTAGCTCTCTTTTCTAAAGGAAAGAGATATGCTAGTTTTCATTTGAATTCACTCTCGATGTACTCTATATTCTGCAGCTTTTAAAGTTTCCTCCTTCCACAGGTTCATAGTTACTGCTGTCACAGTGCTGACTTAGTAGCTTCTGTATTAGCATCCTTGAAACTTACGTGCAAAGAAAGAATTTTAACAACTTTGCTCTGCTCTGCTGATAGTTTTATTTACTAGGCAAGAATCTCAGAATATGCTGAGTTGGAAGGGACCCATCAGGATCACTGAATCCAACTCCCAGCCCTGTGTGGGACACCCCAAGAGTCACACCATGTGCCTGAGAGCATTGTCAAAATGCTTCATGAACTCTGTCAGGCTCGGTGCTATGACCACTTCCCTGGGAAACCTGTTCCAGTGCCCAGCCACTCTGTGGGTGAAGAACCTTTTCCTCATATCCAACCTCAATCTCCCCTGACTCAGCTTCATGCTGTTTCCTCGAGTCCTGTCACTGGTCATGAGAATGAAGAGATCAGTGCCTGCCCCTCCTCTTCCCTTGTGAGGATATTGAAGACTGTAATGAATCTTCTCCAGGCTTAACAAGCCAAGTGACCTCAGCCACTCCTCATATGGCTTCCCCTCAAGGCCCTTCACCATCTTCATGGCTCTCCTTTGGATATTGCCTTGTAGCCTAATGTCTTTTTTACATTGAGGTGCCCCGAAATGCTCACAGTACTCAAGGTGAGGCTGCCCCAGTGCAGAGCAGGACAATCCCCTCCCTTGCCCAGCTGGTGATGCTTTGCCTGATGCCCCCCAGGACACAGTTGGCCCTCCTGGCTGCCAGGGCACTGCTGACTCATATTCAACTTGCCATCGACCAGGACCTCCAGGTCCCTTTCTGCAGTGCTGCTCTCCAGCCTCTCATTCCCCAGTCTGTGTGTACATCCAGGGTTGCCCCATACCAGGTGCAGAATCCGGAACTTGCCCTTGTTAAGCTTCACACAGTCGGTATGCAATGAAGCAGTGAAGAAAAGTATTTAAAATGTATATCAAAACAAATACTAACTACACAGTAACGAGGCTGCAGCAAACAGAAAGTTTGTTTCATAAACTTCTGTGTAAAATGCGTAACAGAAAAGAATATCCAGCACCTTCAGAGTGATGCCCTAAGAGTCAACTCACCCAACTGCTTTTTAACTTGACTGTACCTAGAAAGCTTTTCTGTCACACTGTGCTATTGGTGATAGATTCTTTCAATAGAGAGAAGACATGCTGTATACAGTACTATGAAGGGTTTGTGCTACACATGCTGTACTCATAGTCAAGAAGGGAATGAAATCTAGAGGCTGCAAAAGTGTGAAATGTCTACATGCTTCTTCCCTAAATGTAGCCCCTCCAGCTATCAAAGCTTCAATTTGAATTTGTTTGTGAGATGTCAGGGGATCTGGCTTCCTTAAACCTTTTGTAAAATGCCAGATGCATTTACATCACCAGGAAAACACAGAAGAAAACCTATTTATGGGTGATCTTCAGTGTACTTCTTCCCCAATTTGGGCATTTGTAGAAAGACATGGTGTTTATCAACAGTCAGCATTTTACTCACTTTTATGTCACAAAGGCCAAATTCTCTAATCCAAGTGATGCTGAGAGGCCATGGTAAGATGGCAGTACTTGGCCTCAAACATTCTGCATCATGATCAGCTGCTAGAGCATTCAAGTACAAGGAGAGATAATTTTAGGTAAACGTAAAACGCAGAAGTAGATTCATTCAATGACCTGCATGAGTTTAGCAAAAATGAAATGAATGGGTTAATTTATCTGGGGCCATGTGTGACTTAATTCATGCAGAAATTACTTTGAAAGTACCCCAATCTCTGTAGTCCTACCATCAGGTTTAAGCTCCACTACACTGTTCCAGTTCCAGCAAATACGACACAGGAAACAATCACATACTGACAGGGAAGATGTAACAGATAACAGGCCTCATCTAACTGTATGAAAAAGGAAAGGCAGAGGGGAAGGTCTGTGTGTGGTTGATAAAGACATGAATAGCTGGGACTGGATACTGGTACTTTTGCAAATAATTATTAAATACTGGATACTGTAGAGCCTAAAGAAGCTGTGTGACTGACGTTTGCCCCAACATGTGCACACAAAATATGTACATATTTCCATACTATGGAATGCCCTTGTTGCTGGGACACCACGAAGAAGCTTAAGGAATTTGGGGTAATGGGGATGAATGTATTGATCATTTCAGTTTACTTTCTTCATCCCACTGCTACACAGGGCACTCATTTCCTGTCTACTTGTTTCCCCATTCACTAAACATCTACAGGGCACCTTTAAGACTGGTTATGATGGCATGCAAGACATCCAGAAAAACTCCTGAAGGAAAAGATAAAACCAAAAATAATCCCAATTATTTACAAACCACATTTCTTCCAACGTTTTGCATGAACATTATGTGGGACCTCTTACAGACAAACACATATTACTACACTTATCTGGAGGGAAACAAACAAACATGAAAACCAGTAGAAATGCATCCTGAAAGGACTTATCTAAACAGCAGCCAAACAACTTGCACATTCCTCAGGGAAAAAAAAAAATCAAACCAAAACCAGAAACAAAAAAGAAAAACAAAACTACAAAAAAACCCCAGTTAAAAAAGAAAAAAACAAAACAAAACAACCCAGAGATCATGTGTTACTTATAAAGTGCTTTGCATGGACAAGGATAGCAATTTTCCTTGTGCTTTTCCTATGGGCTCAAGAAGCATATTGTAGACTAATGGGTAATGAATCTTCACCAAAGTAAGTTCATTTTAAGCAAAGACAGAACAAAGTTCCTAACAGACAATCTTCTGCCAGCATGACTTTGTGGAAGGAAACTTAGGGCTTTTAACAAGCTCTGTGAAACAAATGACTGTTGAACCACCTGTCCATAATTGCTCCATTAACAGTTTCTTCCAAGAGAACAATAATTTCCAGTATGCCTGACATGTACAAATGAGGCCAGAGCCCACAGAAGGGCTGGAGCCAAGCACGGGGTGAAAGGAGAAGCAGTGACTACTTCACCCTCTGGGAGCCTGTATCTGGTGAATGCTCTCACCTGCCTTCTGACACCAGTGGCCCCAGGCTCCCTCCACCTCTTATGTACTGGCCTCAGATGATCACCAGGGAGAACTCTGACTTCACCAGTCTTCACCACCACTTGCACATTGGCTTCTCCACACTAGAAAGTGGCTATTGCTACTTTTTAAATTGCTGCCAATCTCAATAAGGAAAAAACCTTACAGCATCTGAAGATCCACGGCAGACAAGAAAAAATTTGTGCTTTTTTGTTTGTTTGTTTTTAAAATGCGTCCTGTACACAAAATCATTTCTATTCATGTACCAACATGAATCACTTCATTCTTGTAGTGACTATTAAGTCATTCACTATTGCTGTCTTGCTAATGTTTGTGGAATTAATATGAATACACAGTATTTCAGTTATAATTCCCACTTCAGATTAGTCCGGTCCCTATAACCCCAGTAAATATTTACTGACAAACATAACAGACTACCAGCAACACCGCAGAACTCCAGGGTATTAAAAGCGCCTTCCACTACCGATGTGCATTTCCCCCTTCACCTGGGAGCAACCTTCTGCAGACAGAAACAGTCCAACTCTCCCCAGGGAGGGAAGGACAGTGTCCTCACCCAATACATCCATCTTTAGCACGGACACCACATTCACACACATTTAACTCCTTCATTTATTTGTCACGATTTTATTTAACGTCCCCCACCATGTCTAAGCAGGAACGTCCCTGCCGGAGGGGGGGGTCAGTTCTCCTGCCTCACCTGCAGTGCTACAGGGCCAAAACAAATCAAATTCTGAAAACTTGTCTGAGCTTGAGTTTCTTTCCAACATGGTCTGCCTTGCCTCTGTACAAATAATTTACAGGTAATACCACATGCCAGAGAACTCTGCAAACAGCTCACATCACAAGATATTCTACTAGAGGTAAACGATGTGCAGAACTTTAGGAGTTGTTTTTTCCCTGACTGGGTAACTTGTCAAAAAGCTACCAACCATTTGAAAACCAGGATTGGAGAACAGGAAAACAAAGCAGTCTAGTGGAGATACCGCCACCTTCATCCTAGTTTGCAAAGTGTACAAAAGGGAAAGACAAATGGAAGGGAAAAGATGACAGGGAGGAAAGCAATGAGAGGAGAAGTAGTCAGCGTGGATCCAGCAAGTACCGTTTTGTTTTGATCTAACAACTTGCCATTAGGACAAGATGCTCCACATTTACACACACACTTATCGGAGGACGTTTAGTTAACAGGATAAAAATCCTCTAAAAAAAGCTCTTGAAAGTACCAAAACATAATTTTTGGAATGTCTAATTCTAGGGGGTTTTGTATTTGTATTCAATTCAACCTGAGAACTTTTTTCCCCGTTTACGAAAACATTACATATTGGTAAGGTACCTGGCATTAACCTGCACCCTCATTTAAAATAAAACTTTTAAAGTAGGTACATACACCATTCACAGTCTGTATCGGGAACTCTACAGACTTCAGATGCTGCAGTAGCATCTTTGATAAATACATTGTATCATATGATACAAAGAAAAAATAAAAGAGAGGACAATATCGCTACATTTTTTTTTTTTAAACTTCAGTTTGTTGCTGGACCAACAAAAGAAGGATCTACCTAATCCTTCTAAAAGATGTTGTATATGCACACACCAAGAAAATACGGGAAAAGGAAAAAGGTTAAGGATGGTGGTCGTTGTTTGTTCTTTTTAAGAAGTGGTAAAGTAAATCTGAAAAAAGGTGCAGCAGCATCCCCTTTTCCTTCAGCTGAACCTCTTCGCCTTCAGAATAACATCTTCTCCAGTTCCCAATGCCCCACACTTTTAATTTTAAAAGAATAAAACCCAATAATATAGGCAGATTGAGGTGTTTGACACTGTAATACAGAGAAAAGGGGATACTGCATTGTCCATAAATCAGTAAATACACCAGGAAAAAAAAGGATCGGAATGGAGAATGGTTCTTTTAAATTAGCACTCATCAGATTTTCAGCCTCTGATGGTTACACTGTTAGAGGGAGAAAGCCGACCGGCAGACCATCCAAAGCAAGTCTCCTAAGTTGCAGCAGCAGTTCCATCCCCTCATGCCCGAGCACCACAGTCAAACCACGAGCGCCCTCTCCTCTCTCCTGGGAATGATGCCAACAGCACAGGCAGCCACTGCGGGTCTCCGAATGCACGTGGTGGTTTGTGTTGAAGGAGAAACACTGGCAGCAGAGGACTCTGGTTCCCAAAAAGGTACTTTTTCCCATTGTGTTGGACTGGCAGTTCCATTCTGCTCCACTTTTAAGCTTATGGATATCTTTTCTAAATTATTTTAGGTTTTGCGGAGCAGAATGGAGTTTTGATGTTAAGAAACTGTAGGAACACAAGACTTAAATAACAGAGTGGGTGCTGCCATGGTGCTGTGGCTACTTGAACGCTGCAAATTCTCCTGTAGAGGGAGGACAAGAGCTTGGTTTAAAAAGGTGATTTCAGTTACTAGGCAGTCAGAGATTTTCTCTAGACTAGCCGAACATCAGGTTGAATACAAAAGATGTTAAAAAATGCAGACTGTTAAAATTAAAGCACAAGAGAATACATAGTGAGAGAACATTGAATACAGACCCAGTATATTTAACCAACATAGAATTTCTTGAAAGCAAGCTGTACCCATTCTTCCCAAGAACTGTGAGAGATCAAGCAAAGTCTAAATCATCATGCATTTGAAAAAAAATTGTGTCAGCTTGATTTTACTTTAAACTCCTTATTGCACATATATCCTCCTGAGAAGCAAGAATTTCCATAAACGCGTCTGACTGCAAACTAGTTTCTATTCTAGTGTAAAATTGGTTTAATAACAAAGAACTGTTTGACACACCCATTAACCTTCAAAGACTATATACAGTAAAGTGCCTGAATATAAAACCAGTATTAAAGAATGCTACAATCTGGTTTAGAGACCAACACAGCAACCTACTGAGAGAAAAACAAGACTGGGGAGACTATCTACTCAATCCCAGACCAGAAATTAGGCCTCACTAACAGAGAGCACAACAAATAAAGCAACCACATGCTTCCTTCAGAATTACTGAATAAAAAAAAATTAAATGCAGTGCTTTCACATGTGATGACCTCCTGAAATTCTACATAATTTATTCAGTGTCACCATACCATGAGATAGACTGATAGTCCCATTTCTGAAAGGAACTATGGCACAGAGTAAAATCGCTGCCCAAAGTCTTTAAGGAGTTTCCCAGAAGATTGAATAGAAGCTGTATCTGACATATTAACCCTCTTAATCTTATGATTTAGCAAAAAGAATTTCCTGCCACCCACAAAGAAATTGCATTCTATAGGATTTTTAGTGAGGGGTGTCCAACTATGCATAATCAAAAGGACTCAGGAGGAAGAGAAAAAGGAGCAGACATGTAATTTTCCTGTGTTGGGTTTTATATGAATTTTGGGTTAGTTTATGTCACTTTCTTGACAGCACTTCTCAGAGCTTTTCTAATAATGAAGGAGTGATAAGTAGACACAAGAGACCCTTTGTTCTATTCAACAGAAGCGTGCTGAATGCCACAACATCCAAACAACTGCTCCCTATCTTGGTGTCCTTCCATCTTTTCAAGAGCAACCGTGTTGTTGGCTTTGTTTTGTCTTAAGATTCTTATTCTGAATATTGGAAACGAAACAGAAACATCCCTGCAAACAAAATTTTAGGCTTATCATGGAATGTCTTGTTCTATAAAGAAGAGAACCAAAAGAGTCATCAGCAGTCTGCATGAGGAGGGGGAAGAAAAGGCATCTAAAAGGCCTGGGAGGAGCAGCTGATCCAGTTCTAAGGGAACTTGAAGAAAGCAGGGAGAGCTCTTTGTGTGTCCTAAGAAATGAGAAGGGAGTACACCCAAGGTCTAAAGTAAAGGGGCTGGCACAGGAGGCAGTGAGAGACCTGAAGCTCTGTGTGTCTTTACAGACTGTGGTGGCAAGTTTAAGTTACAACAACAAAGGAATAAAAGCTTCATGATGGATCTAATTGCCTATTTCACAAGTTCCACCAACAGATAAAACTCTTGCTCTAAAATACTCTAAATATTTGATCCTTTTTTCTTGCTGCTTTCTGCTACATTTCACTGATCTCTCAACTCTCTTCACAGTATCTTCTAGAAACATCTCAAGTTTTGTATATTTTTTCTTTTAAGAGAAGGACAAAAAAATCATCAAGTATTGCCTGTGAGGCCAATTTTTAAGAATGACATTCATGCCTAGCTACACCTTCAAAACATGCTCTACTTAATTTATTTTTCATTCTGCCTTTCTAAATTGCTGATTAAAGATCAATTTATAAACAAGAGACGGCTCCCTCATTACTCATCTTGTCCTTCTGCCCACTTCCACTAATAATTCAGATTTTAATAGTTACATAGGGATTTCAGAAGATAAAAGATGAACCTTCAATTGAAAAAGGGCAATGGAAAAACAGGATCAGAAGTCAAGAAGTATTTCAGACAGTATGGTAGCTTTAAAAAGGTAGTTTTCAGACTTTGCTGCCATTTAAATAAAACCTTAGCAAACGCATTTTCTTTGACAAGCTAAAGCTAAATCTTGCCTTTGAAAATTCTGGTGTTAATCTGATCTCAAATCAATAGCAGACCAAAAAAAAGTAACATGTTCATCTAATAACAGGATTATGTTGACTGAACATGTATAAAATGCAGATGCCAGCAGCAGCTTTCCCTAGATGAGGAATGTAGATGGCTACACCTGTCCACTTACAGGAATCCTTCATCTAGGTGTCAATAGGACCTTCTGAGGAGTAGCTGAAGTACTCTATGTCACCCTTTCTATTCTGAAGATGTAAAATATCTGTAGCTGGTTCTTTTAGCTTCCAGAAGAAACCCCACCTAAAAAAAAGGGGAAGAGAACCCAGGCAAACTCTTCCTGAGGCTAAGATGCATACAGATAAATGAAGTAACATGAAATGTGAATTCATCATTTTCTAGCAGGCCAGGAAGGTCTTGCCTGAGAGCAATGAAGACAGCTTTAGGAACACGACCCAGTGTGTCCTGTCCTGATTCTGCCCTGCTAAGTCTTTGGACACAGTCCTGCAATGGGCAATGCTAACCCAAACTGGGACTATTGAGGTCCCACTCTATCTCTTGACCTGGGCTGTAGAGCAGTGACCTGCCCATTGTGCCACACCAGCACTATGTGTCCTTAAAGCAAGATGGTTCAAGGAGCTGATGTATGAAATGCTACCTCAGGCTGTTGGGCAAGGAGAGTTTTCTAACCAGTTTTTGGAGAGCTGCTTTGTTCATGGTGGGGGAAACCCACACAACTGCACAGAACAGACTCATGGAATTGGAGAGAATCTGCCAGAGCAAGGATAAGGAGGTAGGCCATGGCTGATCCAAATGAGATCAGTTTACCATGAAGCTATGAAACCACATACTTAGCCACTTGTTATGTGAAAAAAACCCCAGACATTTATATTCACTGTGAGCCAGACATCTGAGGTGCTTCTGAGCAAGCACAACTTCAGATACTTGCTTTGACTAGTAACAAAGAAATTCCTTTCCAAAGGATGGATAGCATCTGAAAACATACACTTCTTACAAAGCCCTTTCAAGTTAGCTGCTACAGTCCTTTCACGCTTGTATTATGCAGAGCGAGCGCAAACTATTTTAAATGCACACTTTCAAAAACTCTGTTCTAAAAAGATGATCAAGATCTTTCATGTTGCCTCCAAACAATGTAATACAAGGGCATGTTTTGAGTGAACCTGCTGCCCCTGATTCCTGGAGGGATTCAAGATGCAGCTACCATTCTCTACTCTCACAGATTTCTAAGTTACCTGGATTTACGAGGTTACTCAGGTATATACACAACACTGTAACTGTCCTCTTTATGCTGGGGTAGATGCCATGTTTCCCTGAAGAATCATAAGGAGAATAATGGTTCCCTTCCAGGCCTGTGCCAGCCTTATCTACTGAAGTAGAGAGTAACTAACTTATCAAAGAGAAACATCAGATTCCAACACCTCACCTGGATTACATTCACAGACACAGGAAAAGTATGACAAAGAGGTAATTTTCTGTTGGATTTTGTGCTGATCTTTTGTATGGATACCATCCACGGGGTTAAATAAAAATTTGGAACATCTTCTACAAGGTATCAAGACAGATTTTGTTTCTATAATGAGATGTAGGAAAGTAAATTAAAAAAGAAGCTCACCTACTATAAACCACTCCTCCAGAAAAACCCAAGATCCTACGACCTGTTTTCTGGACCAACAGGTATCTGTTTCTGAACAACAGAGCTGAGTTGCTCTTTTGAGAACTCTGACCCAAACCCACAGATGTAGTTATCATTTTCATCCTACAGATGTTCCCAAATCTCACTGAAGCAGCAATTACAAATTACAGAATGCTCTAAATGCCTTTATGTCATATAAAGGTAATGATCCACAAAACCCAGCCTCCTTTTAGGCTTCACAAAATGTTTAGTGAGAAGCTAAGATCACGTTATGGCCATGGACCTCAAACGGTGCTCGACGCGTAAGAACAGGTGACACGGGAAGAATGGACTGACCATGCAGCAGGAACTGGGGCCAAGTGTGTCTAAGGATGGCAGCATTTTCCCCCCATAACTGTAGTTCCTAGAGCACAGACAAACAATCTTAACAAGGAGGATAACACTACTCCAAGGAGTAACTTGTTTGAACTGATATGGCAGATCTGAAAAAGAGTAAGCCTGGGCAGGGCAGTGATGATGGTTCTGCACTCTCTGCAACTCCCCATGTAGTCAAGACCTTCCTGTGTGGAATGCCACATTTCTAGATTCTGCAGGAGACCCAGTAGCATCCTCTTGCTCTGAGATGGAAATTGTAGCCTGTACTGAATACCCAAAAGCTTAGGAAGCATTTCTCCTCATTGTCTAGAGTAAATATACAAAATAAAGAATGAGAGAGGAAAACACTTAAGTCCTGTTTTCATTTTAAGATTAGCCTGCCAAAATGAGGTAAAGCTACCAGAAAGATGGGAAACAGATCTTCTAAAACAGTAACAACTTTCATCCTATATAACTATTTCCATAGAGGGAGATTTCAACACTTAAATTTTCTTGACTAAGAAAATGAGAAAAATTGTTCCAACAGCAGAAGCCAAAAAGCCTATTAGAATCCAGCCACAAAATGTAGAAATTGCCTATATCTCTTCCAGTTCTCTACATCTGCTTCCCATTTTAAAAGGCTCAGTTGTCAGACATCAGAAAGCCAAGCTTTTTGGAATTCCTGATCTATTTAAAAAAGTTATTGGTAGCAACTTCTCCATGAGTATGTAAATCAGAAGCCACTAGGAACACTCTTGGCCCCTGAAGTCCTAACAAGAGCAGCAATAGCTTATTCTGATGCAAGAATCTGTGAAAATTAACAGCTTAGCTGTTTAAACCAAGTAAAACCATGTAATTCACCTCAAAATATGCAAGAACACTGTCAGTACATCTTGTTTTCATATCTGACATCAAAGACTGATACAACCTGAACCACTCCTCTGATTTACCTACTCCAGAGGAATGCTCCAGAGAAAAATACAAAGTGAGCTGGCAGGATTTTGGTAAGGTGTCTGGCTTTCTCAGTCAGATATCTAGTCTAGCTGACTCCCTTCTAGTCAAACTAGCAGCTTCTATATGGAAGTGAAAAAATCAATTTGTCATGTTCAGTGGTATTCTTAACAATATTAAAATAATTAAAACCTTTCATCTTAACAGAATTCATGGTATAACACCGATTTCGATGAAAACAACTGCTTTTTCAAATCTTCTTTTCCTATTATGGGTGTTAAGCAGCATTTTTTTCAAAGTATTTGGTCATGCTTGAGGTTTAAAATGTTTTTCTAAATTTTGAAATCCGTGCTAATCGAAGGATACAGGCACCATTACCAGTAATAGTCTTGCAGTTTGGCAAAAGCAGATTCAGAATTTCTTCTGTGTTGCATTGTAATAGAACATTTTGATATGGTCTGAACTATAGCAGGTCAGAGTATTTAGGGGGGCAGAAAAAATAAAAAATAACAACCCATGTCACCACTCTTCTGCAGGAAGAGATGTTCTCTAAACAGGACTACTTTAAATTTCAACTTTCAAAATAAAGAGCCACATGTAATTCAGGGCTTTCTCTGGATTCTGTGTTGTATCTGCTCACTTCTGCTGACCACAAGAAGTTTTGACTGTGTTCAGCCTTGAAGCTCAGTTTATTTTTCCAGTTGTTTCCCACATATGAACAGCATTACTAAATGAAGAATCTAAAGCTTATTGCTCAAATATAATGACCTCAACTGAAGTAAAAAAAATAAAACCAAAACAACACACCACCACAGCTTGTGTAATTAAAATCAAATACACTCCTGAGTAACTAATTCCAATCAATAAACTAAGCAAAACTGACACCCCATGACCTCAAGAAGACCTTGCTTGTTTTGAAGTGACTTTTCCCACGTCTCTTATGGGACGTTAGAATTCCTCTCGTGCCAGCTGTTCCCAGGGCACTTGTTACCAACACAGACTTTGTGCTTGGGACATTCAATGCCCAGTGTTGGGAAGTGAGTCTTCGTTCCCTCAGTAAACCTTAAAAACACAGCTGGTACACGAGCTGCACTCCCAGGAACACCCCAGCACACAGACACACAGGCACATGCTTTCACATTTCTTTTCAGTGCACTGGAAACCCACCGTATCCCCCTGCTTGGATGGGTGTTTTTGGAGAAGCACAAGCATATAGACTAAAATCCTCTGTCTGGAAGCCAGCCCGGTTTAATGAGGGCTCAGATGCACTGCGGTGAATTTTTGGCAATGACCGGGCCAGAAGCTCAATGGAGGCAAGAATCTAAAACAGGTAGAAAATAAACGATCAAACCTGTTGTTCCAAAGCTGAAACTCTTTCTTAAAACCAAAGGCACAACATTAATTAACTACAGAAAAATATTTAAATTAAAACAGAATTTCAAAAATATTGATTACTGCATTGCATGCTTGATGTTTGTATCCTGTAAAAGTTGGAAAGGACAGTTTGGGAATTTCCCCCTTTATAAAGTCATACTAATTTCCCTCTGTAAGCACAGTGTATACAGTTGCTTTTTATTTGGCTCCTTGTCCAAGCACTAGCACCTGTACCTGCCATTGCTGCAAACAAACCCAGCTTTGGCAGCAGTTTGCTCAATACCATTTACCAAAAAGTCAGCAGGGGGAGCTCCTTATTTTTTGAAAATTATTTGGTTACATTCAAAGCAGAAAAAAAACAGATTCCCACTCCCCTCCTCCAAGGTTTTAGAACCCAAACCTTCCTCAGCAGGCATGATAAAAATCAAGTTTTGTGGCAAAACTATCAGTTTCCCTTCATAAAGCTTGGGGGAGAGCAAGAAGAGGGGGTATAAAGATTTCTGAGCACATATACGAAGTTCTAATTTGTGTCTAACTATAATTATCAATTTCACTATCTCCCAGTTGAAACTTTCTCCAACATATAAATGCTTTTCCAAATACACAGGTCGTTTTACTACCTGTGTTTTGAAATTAAAATAAGCATTTCTAATTAAACAGCTCTAACCAGGTACTGAGCCAATGCTCTTATGAAGTCATGTTGTAACACTAATAAAAAAAAATTTGGAACCGGTCAGTGAGTTCGCAACTTTGAATTCTAAAGTCTATTGAGAGTTAAAGAGGAGCATCTCTCACCTGTGGAAAAAGGGGTCTCTCATCTCTCTTCTTTTTTAAGCATTCTGCCATTAGTCTCTTCATAGCTTTTGGACAGTTGCTCCGTACTTTGCTGAGGTCTGGAGATAGATATCCTCGTCCCACCATAAAAATTATCTTTATTAAAGGGGAAAAAAAGATGAAAGAGGAAGATGATGAGTCCATAAAACAAACAGTAAAAAAAGGCGAGCATTTTGCGAGAACATTTTAGTTCCAGCAGAAAGTTTTCTGCTCCCAGGAAACACTATCTGGTATTGAAATTGCCAGATTTCTTAGAGCAATGCTAACCTATTCAGTACAGAGAAAAAATTAGATCTTTCCTCCTCCTCCTCCTCCTTGGAGAGATTTCTGTGAAACCTGAACACTAGTAAATGGTTACCATTTATAGCAATAACCATCCAAGGAACGGTTCTTCAGTGTCAAAAACTGTGACAAAAACAAGAATAAGCAACTTTGGCAGGAACAGAATGTCTAAAAATAAATATTCTGTAAAAGGAAATATTCTGTTTTATAAATCAACAGCAAGTTCACGCGGAAAGGTATTTTAAGAAATACATGGACTTCGGATATTAAAACCATTCAGCTTTTAAGAATAAATTCTGCCATATACTTTTCCAACACAAAAGTTCATTCCTGACATCTGATCACCCTCCCCATCCCCAAGAAAACCACAAAAGAAAAAGAAGTACTGTCTCTCCTCTGTAGAAGAGGAGACAGACAGGTTTTGTATTTTTACAGTAATTCTTTGTACATGGAAGGCTTATATTTCACCTAAGGATAAAACTTCAGCATAAACCAAAGTAAACTGATAGGAAGCAGGAAAACAAAACATAAATATGGTTAATGGTCTCTCGTATACATAAAAAACCCACATCAAACATCATCATGTCAAGCCAAAGTCAAATGCAATGTGGTTTGAGTACTGCAGTTGCACTGACACTAAAAAGCCCTTCCAAACTAGCTAATCAAAGATCCATTCATGCTGCAGCAGGTAATCACTGCCTTTTCTGAACACTCAGGCAGACCCAGCAGGTGTGTCATACCTTCTATCTAATGAAGTGTAGCTATTTCATATCTTGACACTGGGGAAAGAAAACCCTCAGAAACCCCTCACATCTCAAGCATGCCATTCGTGTTATTTATACTAACACAGTCCTGGTCCTTTTTCAGCTTTCTGCTTCAGTCACATCTGTGTTGGCATCAAAGAGGAATATAAAACTCCCATATGGTTTCTTTAGAAATCTCCATGTGCTAGAGCAGCATTTCATAGTAGACTTATGTACCCTGTCCCTTACCTCTGCTGCAATGAGACTTACCGTGATCTGTGTTAATATTTTCTAAATAATTGCACAAGCTGAAATTATTCAAAATTCATTATTTATGTTTCAAATACTCTCTTTACAAATAACATAGGGATTAAACTTTTACTTTGAACTAGAGAAAAGAGATTATCCCTACAAGAACAGTCTAGAAAAATCTATTATGGTGAGAGGAACACTGAGGTGTAACAAGAATGATGCTTTGTTCACTAAGAATCTTAGTTGTGTCATAGTAGCTGAATATTTACAACTTTGGAGACAACAGACAAGGAGTGGCAAAACTCAAGACATTAGATCACATTGTATATGGTGGCTTCACTTGCATTTTAAAATTTGTTTCAGCACTTAATTGTAAGCACCTACATCACTGGGTTCATCTTTCAAATCTCAAAAGGTAAAGACAAGACAATGTTAAATACAGTTTTTAGAAGGCTGGATCCATCTGGCCAGGAATCCAGACATCTCCCTTCTTTAAAAAGGCAAAAACAAAATTATAAAAAAAAAAAGAAAATTATAAAGGAGTCACTCCAAATTTGATGAATTGGGATGATCTGTTCTGGCAGATATGGAAGCAGCCTTATAAAATGGCATTCACAGATGAACGTTGCTATGGTTGCAGTTCTCAAGTACTGACAGTGAAAAAACAAGAGATGAGGACACAGAAGCAACATAAATACATCACTGCTTAGACACAGAATAGTTCACACCAAAGATCTTGATGCATAGATACTATTTTCAGATTAGACAGAAATAATGAATCAGGTATGCCTTCCCAAAGCACCTAACCCATGGAGATATATTACAGGCATGTGGTACCATTAAGACTTAAGGAATACTTGTTCACAATTAAGTAATCTTCTTACAGGATTCACACACTCTGGAAAGTCATATACTCCATCAAGCAGGGTTTGAGAAACGCTGATTTCCTGAAATTCAGTTAGATGGTGCATCCATTTCTCAAGATCGAAATGAATACAAAACATTCAGCGACATGACTGTTGTTCTGTCTTGTCCTTTAGCTGCACTATTATTCCATGCAAGTGGAGGGGTGGGGTGGGGAGGAAATAAAGAGGAATAACAGAACACACGTATAGAGGATCATTTCGCCTTTGCAGAACTACTCTAGACTAGTATTAAGTAACCTGTTCTCTCCCTAGTGAGTATCCTGGCAACCAGTTCAGAAGCTGAGAATCTAAAAGTAAAAAAGAACACAAAAAATACCTCAAGAGAAGTAAGTAAATTGGTGCTATGTGGCTGAGGCAAATTTAGAAAACGCAGAAATGTCATCTCACAACATCAGAATAGGAAATATCAATCACACAACACACCAGAAAGTGCACTACCCAAGGCTGAATTGATCTCTGTTTCAGGCCACAGTTGACTGAAGTCAATCCCTTCCCTTACCTGGTCCCTGTTGTTGATGTTTGAGTATGGTAACTGTCCAGTCATCAATTCATAAAGAACAATCCCAAATGCATACACATCCGACTGAAAGCTATATGGGTTTTTATCTTGCATCCTAATAACTTCTGGTGCCTGTATCATAAAAGGGAAGAATTAGTTTTCATTTCTCTACGTCACACTGCACCTCACATACCAGGAACAAAACATGGACTTTTCCAGAGTACAAGTGCAAGGCCCACTCTTCACAGGTTACTGGGTGCTAATACAGAGTGGGTGCTGACATGAATCTCATAACCCATTGCTTCATTTTAGTTTGGTGATCTCTTTATTCCTCTATGACAGAACAAAATTACCTTGGCCAGGTTGAGAAGACATTTGGAAACTAGGATTATAACAACACTGAGAATAATGCCAACTAACAGAGCTTTAAGTTTTTCCAGGGAGAAAAGGAGAAACTGGAGTTGTACAGGAGTTGTTCTATGGAATAACTATGCTTGAATTCTTAAAACTTAAGAGTATCTTACTTTCAGCTGAGCTAGTTCCTCTGCTCCTTTGCAGAATGTTTTGCATGGCTTTTCTCACCTCCTCAACACTGGATTAATTATACCCTTTTTCCTTAGCCACCATTTTCTTTTCAGTTTAAACCTCAGAATAAAGGATAAAGACACTAAAATTTTTTTGCTGACTACTGGAAAACATATGCTTAAAGTACAGTTGAAAAGTATTCATTTAGTACTTCATACTACTGCTTGTCTTTTCCAGCTTAAGACAGCATGTGTATATCAGTGTGCTGGAGGAATAGTGTAGAAATTTTGGCCAAAGGTAAATAAATTTGTTGAAACAAACTCACCACTTCCCCTTTACATACCATCCATAGAATAGATCCAGACAACTGTTCAAATTGTTGGGATCCACTCCATCGTGATTTCACTGTAGCTAGACCAAAATCACCTATTTTTACTGTGAGGTCTTCATGAAGAAATATATCTAAGGAGGAAATGTTAAGGGAAAGCAGACAAGCAATGCTGGTACTGTCCTACTGTCTCCAAAAACAGCTACAAATTTGCAACATACACATGACAGTTTTTACCACTGACCACCACTGAAGAAGGTTTCTGTGAAACACAGATTCTAAGCAGCCAGCATAAGGAATTATGCTACTTAAGGGTTACATAAGTAATGACTGGGCCAGTGCTGAACAGACCACGGCCAGGTGGCTTTCCTGAAGTGCCAAGTACTTTCTTGAAATGCCAAGTATGAGGAAAGCTGAAAATATTTCATGAGTGAACTGGCACAATCTTTCATTACATGTAGAAACCAAAGGATGCAAAAAAACCCCGAAACCTCCTATGTTATTGCAATGAAATCAACAGACACCGTAGGCATCCCTTATTTTGCTGTTACTGCTATTACTCCTTTTACTATTGATAATACCCCTATCACTCAGTGAAATTTCTACTTGGCAAATATTTATACATGAACAGCTTTTCATATCATTAAGTTAACCTCTGGCAGAAAAAAAAAAAGGAACCAGGAATGCTGTCACATTCCAGAATTACATCTCTGGGAAAGGATACTATTACTCTTGAGGTCTCTGTGGATGATTGACTTGGCATGCAAATAACTGAAAAGGAATATCATAGATTAGGTGGGTTAAATAATATTTCACTAATCAGCAACTCAAAATTCACTGTATTACTGAAACACAAATTCTGTAGATATTCAAACTGCAAGGTAGTAAAACTTCAGTTACCAGTGACAGTTTTTGCAACATTGACAGGAAAAACAAACCAAAAGCATAATAAAGCTTAGATTTCCAGCTCAAATCTGATGATGCTGCTCAATGAAAAAACAATTATGCTCCAACTTCTGCTTTTCAACTCTAACTCAATATTCACAATAAAAACAACTTCAGTAGTTTTTTCACATTCAGTGCTGAAAGTTCTGCCTCCCAGCCTTAATGGTGACTGTCAAGACCCTTTGCAGGCTAGTCACAGCTTTAGGTAAGGTGTTTCTAAATGTGCTTCCCAGTGTCAGTGAGTACTCAGGTATGCTGACTGCTTTTAAGTACAAGAGTGGAAAAAAGATCCCTTGCAGACTGGATAAATAGATGGCAGGGAACACAGAGGAGAGTACTTGCCCCACAGCACAGATATAGCCTAAATTAGGCAACCAGTCTCCCATGGCTCTTTGTTTAGTCAATGAGATTGGCACAAAACTCCTGGAAAAGCCCCAATTTCTGTCTCTGCTTTGAATCATGCTCATAAAACAGTTTCTGCATCTCCACTACCTACAGATGGGGCCTGGGGAGATGAGCAGGCTAACAGAAGGCTAAGGCTGGTTGCTGCAAACACCTCCCCACCTCTTGACTGAAAATGTAATAGAATACTTAGTAGAAAAATGGCACAATGAACTGCAATCATCATAGTGGTTTTTCAGCTGGAGGGTGATTTCTCTGATCTTACAGCAGTGCTCTGATTTTGACAGAAAACATTGTGCTAGTTTTGTAAATTCTAACTCAACAGTCCTCTATGGCAGTAAAGATTATTTACAATCCTTAGAACTAAATCTGTATGTTTTCTCCAAATATTGAAATCTGTTATTTAAAGAGCTATGATACTTAAAGAAAAAGGAAAAAAACCTCTGATTCTTTTTGCTAACAGGGCTTGGCTGTCTGCCTTGTGCATATCTTATGGAATTCTGTCCTTTTATTCACAGGGTGTTTCTTTTTAAACTATGTTCTACCTCCTATCATACGATTATCTGCATTATAAAGTTTGTAAAGACTCTACTATTTAAGACTGTATTTTCCTATGTTCTGAAAAAAGCACACGAAGTCTATTTTACTCATCAGACTAATAAACACTTCACCAAATGCTTTGATGATTGAGACAGGACCCTGGGCTCGGCAAAGTGAGCAGATAACCAGCCTTATTTGCCAATGTCAGCCACAGTGGAAAGGGGATAAGAAAACTTTGCCCCAGAGCTCGTTTTCAGACAAGTAATATGATACTTACTCCATGCCTTGTGCAGTCTGTCGTGCAATATCAATTAGCTTGATCATTTCAAATTTGGTCTCAATGATGTGTAGATGGTGATACAAGCTGGACCCTTCACACCATTGTGTAACAATAGCCAACTGGGGTTTTGTTGAATAACCCATGAAAAGCAGGATATTCACATGTCGTGTTTTCCTGTTTAAAAACAAATAAAAATGAGTAGGAAATCAGGCAAAACCCAGGCAGGCCTATCACAGTTGACAAATATATTTCCAAACAGAAGCTGAGTCAATCTCAAGTTTTACTAAGGTGACACGGTAATCTCTTGCTAAATTCAGTTTAATGAATTATTCCAGACATTAGCTTTTCTGATCATAATAACATGGAATAACTACTTTGAGGTAAGCACGGCCTCCCCCAGGCAAGCACCTTAGCACAGGACTGCTCAGAAGATACTGTTTCCCCCAGGTCCCCATGGATGGAAATGGGTTTGCAGGCAGGTCTGCTTTTGTGTGATCTTAGTCCAGCCACGATATGTTGCTGTCCATAAGGATCCAAAATGAAGTTCCAGTCTCAGAGGCTTCCAGAAAGGACAACTTTTTTGTTTGTATACCATCAACACACTTCCTTGACAAGTCTTCAGTTTTACTTAGGGCTTTTTTTGACAAGAATTTGCACTCTCTATGAAGCCAGCATAAAAGAAAGGACGGAAACAGGTATGAAAACTGTTCCTCAGCAAGGTTATGATATGAACTTGTTTCCAAACAGCACTTTGGAGAAACGAGTTCACCACAGAGATTTGACCAGATTAAATCAAACCTATTCCAAAGATGGAGCAACTCCATACAGAAAAATTTCCCAATGAACAATGCAAAAAGAATTATCTCAGTAGATATCCCAGTAGATTCAAGGCCAGAAAGCATCCACTGTGAAATCTGAAATGTTCTCCTCACCCTCCAGGACAAGTCAATCATGTTCTTACTGCCATCAAACAGACAGGAAGAACTACATACCTCCAAACATATCAAGGAGATTTTACAAAGATGAGGCCCTAAGAATTATGGAGTATTTCCTAGCTTTCCCAGGGGCTGAGGAAAAATAAAGGCAATCTTCTTCCAACACAGCTTGGTATACTAGAAGGCAGTCAGCTCTCTGCTGGTGAAACCTGACAGATCAAGCTTAAAACCTGTGGTAGCTTATTAAGTCTCTGCTTTGGTGGAAGATGGCAGACTCTTATTATGTTTTGTTATGTTAAAACACTAACATGGGAGCCCAGAGTGTGAACCTTTGTCCTTGCAGAAATGCAGACCAGGACAGTTCTACGCTATGTGACTGTGCCTTTTTCAGGTTCACGGATTTGTTGAGTGCTGCTGAGAGTAACTGCTGAGGGAACAAAAAATATGCAGCTTCTTGCAAATCTGGCAAAAAATCCTTGCAAAAAATGATGAAGCATAATGGAAAAGGCACAACGACGGGTAAATCTGCCTTGTCTGGGTCAAAGGATAGAACAACTGACTACGTAAACGCTGAAACCATCAACAACCAAAAAGGTTGGACTCCAGCTATGGGAGTGCTGGCACAAATCTGGACTAGCTATGAAATATAAAATTTTTCATTTCATGAAGTTCTGTCAAAATTATGTAAAAAAAATAAATATCCAAAGCACAAAATCTGGACTAGCTATGAAAAACAAGATTTTTGATTTCACAAAGTTCTGTCAAAATTATGTCAAAAAATGAAGATATATCCAAAGTACCATACCACAGAAATGCCTCTACTTCCACAGTTAAGAACTTAGAGTTTTTGGAACTAACATTTTCCTTGGGAAAAAGGCTGACCATCCCCTTTTCAGCATGTAACTTACTGGGGATGTTTCTGTAGCACAGGCACCCAGCTCAACACATCAGGTTTCCAGAGGCAAAAACCTTCTTGCTATTTTGTTTTTAAAACAGAATTAGGCTCAACAATGCTCAAGATTGTACTTGGATGCAATGTTCTTTCCCAATAAATATTCTATCATACTATGTTGATGGATCCTTTTTTAAGAGCAGAACCCAAAACAAATACCTCCCCTGAGAAACCACAAGCAGTAGACACGAGAAAAGGAAATCAAGAAGTGATTTTATGAGAAATACAATTGAAAAAAACCTCAAAGAGAAATTAATGCTACTGAACAGAAACTATTAAACAACAGATAATGTGGGCAGTGCTGCAGCTGAAACCCAACAATTGGCGTGTTCTCCTTCAATCTCAAAATGTGAATGTGTGGAAAGAAAGGCCTACAGTTCACACTTAGGCTTCACTGTGCCCTGGGGGCAGTATAATAGCAAAAACCAGTCCTGTCTCGAGTGTTTTGACATACACATATTGACAACACAGGTGTGCAGACAAACACATACAGGGGAGGGAAGAACTAGCAGCGGATACAAAGAAATAGTTATTTTTTCTGCCTGAAGTATCATCACGGAGGAGTAAGACCAATGTGTTCTAATGGAAATCTAAAATTCAGTGATTAATGAGGCACAAATTTACACGTGTTATTTTATGCCATTAAAAATAATCTTACCTGAGCACTCCTACTTCATTTTTGAAAGCCTGTAACTGCTGAGGTGTGGGTGCCGTAACATTCAACATCTTCACTGCCACATCACCTTTAAAACAGCAATTTTTAGTAAGTGCCACTGATACATATTCCTCTACTGAGAAAATGCTATATAGAGCATGAAAAATACTCAGGTTCCCTGTTTTCTAGCTTTCATGAAATAAATCACTAAAGTAAGTAAATACTCAGTGAAATGTAAAACCACTGTTCTTACTTCACTCTGAGGAATCCTATCCAAGCCAAAGCTATTAAAATACACAATTGAAATCCTCATTCGTCAAGATGGATACTTCGACCTAATAACTAGGTTTCATCTTTACTCTCATAATGCCTTAATTCAGAATAACATGGAAGAGTTGAGCCTCTAAACAATATGAAGTCCTTACACTACTTACTAATTTCCAAATCACATTTACTGCCCTTCAGTGGACTCTCCCTATTACGTTCCAGCTGGGTGACCCCTGGCAGGCAGCGTGACTTGCTGAAGAATAACTGTTTGCCATGATGGCCACATACCATGCCACTTTCCTTTGTAGACTGTCCCAAATGATCCAGATCCTATTCTTTGTCCAACTGTGATCTGTCCATCTGGTATCTCCCAATCGTCACTTGAATCCCGTCGACCAAGAGTTTTCTTTATATATAGGCAAAACCAATAAAGAGTAAAACAAACAAACAAACAAAAAAAAATAAGTGCATTAATGTCTGTAAAAGCAGCTCCTTTGTTAAAGACTTGGTATCAGCATTTCATATCATTAAAGTCCTAAAAAACCTTTTTTTTTTCAGGTATTGTTTTTGACTTTTTAAATCAGCCATAAACAAAACCTCAGGACACAGCTACACCAAATTAATTCCTGGCATGAAACATTTGCCACAGTTTTCTGGCAGCGTTAAAACCAGAAAATATTACGAAACTCTTACCAAAAAGAAAGTCATACTTATTTTTCAATTCTTATTCAATCACAATGTTAAATTGTGAATTTAAAAAATGCAGATATTTTTATGCATTGTTATATAAAAATTTGTTACATAAATTTGTTACTTTCAAAGTTTATGAATCATGGTGGGAAAAGTTAAGCTGTTATGTGAAGGGAAACTGGCATTACAATATGAAGCACACCAAACATTTGGGTGCAAGGGAGTAAAAGTGAGTCTGGTCAATTATTTAAGTGATTTACATCTCAGTCCCACAATTACTTATTGGTTCAAAGTGGTTTAAAAGTGGTTCTCTCACTCCATTATTTGCTGGTTTAAAGTCCTTGATCATTGCCATAGTCATCTTCAAAGTAATTCAGGTGGCTTGGATGAAAGAAAAGTGAGAGGAACACGATTGTGTAGTATTTCTATACTACAAATATCCCACACTACAAATAAAAATAGCTGATCTTTTCCTTACCATTCTATTTCTGTCTTCTGAGGATGAAGATGATTTCCTTTCCCGCTGGGGTCCTGGTGATTTCTGTAACGCTTTCACATTGGTTAGTGACCCAGGCAAAGAGGCAGGAGGTGTTGCAGACAAACCTGTGGTTGAGCCTAAATTTCAGAAACAGGATAATTTTATCTATAAGAATCCAGCTTACAAGAATGCACTGATATCAGGTGCAAGAACTGTGTTTGAGATGCAGTATCTCCAAACATCAATGCAAATGTTAAGAGGGAACAAACATATCCTAGGAATATTGTCCTAACACTAGATTAGCACTCGAGTCTCAGATTTCAGGAAGAGACAAGTCTATAGCAAACATCCCTGTACAGATAGTCCCCAGTCTCTTGTTCATGAATTATCAGAAGGACAGTGTCTTTTTAAGTAAGAAAAAAATATTTTAAAATGTATTTTTTTAATTCCATCGGTTTCCTTGAGTAGAAAAGTAGTAGCATTTTAGTTAGCAGCATCTACCTCAGAGATTTCTTGTACCTAAGCTTTTAGAAACCCGACAAATAGCTGAAATACTGTACTTTGGAACCAAGACAGATTAAATGCAAATAATTGAAATGTTTTCTAGTTGAGTCTCCAAGTGCCACCTGAAAATCATTTGGCTGTTTTAAAGCTATCTGTTAGCAGAGAGCTCTTATTTAAAAATAAATATTACACTGTAGAAAGGATTAAAAAAGAACAAGTACTTTAGTTAGCTACTTGAAGCTTATTCTATGAAACACAAAAAGAACAGTATGTCTGTAGCCTGTATGTTATCTAAACAAATCTGTGCAGGAAAATGTCACTAAGAGAGCTGTTTCAGAGCCCCAATGGCCCTTTACAAATAGAGCACTTCAGCTAGACACTGCTTTTTAAAATACACCACAATTATTCGTAACAAGGTTATGCTGACCCTTCCAATGCAAAGGACATGAAATAGGGTCAACTGTTAATTAAATTCATGCTGCTCTGCTAAACAATGTATGTCATTGTACAAGACCTCTAACATTACAATGCTTTCTCTCACATTAGTGCTCTGGAAAGCGGTGGAAGACAATACTCCTCTTCATATTCTTTCAGCAACCCCCTTCTTAACCAAGAAGTGCCTCCTAATATCAACTTGAGTTCAAAAACTGACTTTGTGGCTTTTAAAACTGTTGCTCAAGTTCAGTCATTCAGTGCATGCTAAATTATCAGACTAAATACCACTGTCCTCACTGAGCTAAAATCTATAAATTTAGAAGTGGAAGCACAAAATAATGACATACAAACACATCAAAAACGGGACACAGCATCTGTAAACTCTGTCCCACATGCTAAAGTAACAATAATGATACATATGGGGTATCCTAACTACAATTACAATCATCTGGAAGTCCATCCTAACAAGACCTGAAGGAAGGACTTATGTTTATGTTACAGCCACTATACTGTCATAAATTTATTATATAATTCATCATACATACATGGCATTAAATGTATGATGTTTCCAGAACATAAGCAATTTTCCAAAAGTTTACTGGGTTACAGACTTTCTCTGCAACAGCAAAGCTCTACTAGAATGCGTTTTCTTTTGAGGTAACTAAAGTCTCCTGCTTGATTTTAATACCACAGTATAGAAACACTAGCACAATATTCACCCTTCACCGAAAATGCTTACAGCACATGGCAGAACATTGTAGTTAATCTGTTCATAATAATACCAGATGGCCTGTTTTCCAAGTTATTAGAGTAGAATACTTCAGATAATTTTGGACTTAAGTCAATAGCTTGGACTCTGAAGCTGTATGTAACGTATTCCATTCTGTAGCCAGTTTGCTTGTTGGGAACACCTGTCTTCTTACAAAGACTTCTGGAAGAACTTTACAAGTTCATAAGGTGAACTGCTCTTGATATATTCTGAAACAAAAGTCTTTGAAACAGCCAAGATGGTAGCATTTGAAAACCACACTACATGCACTGAACTGACCATTTCTACACGTATACGTATAGAAACAAAAAATTTACATTTCATGCTGTTACTCAGTAGTTGGTTTCTTCAGCATATAAAATCCCACAGAGTTTTTTCAGGATTTTGTGCAATACAACAGATCCATTGACAGCTTAAGGCCTGAATAACCCCCAGGGTCAATGACGTGAAAATCTGTGTTTTTTACATAGTAAAGGACACAAATACTGTTTCAGTGGAAATCTGCTAACTAAATAAAAACTACATGGTCTAAACCATCTAGGACCCCAATGTGATGTCAACAGCACATTCTCAAAATGAAGTATTTGTTGAAAGTTGACATAACACATTACTTGAAAACCTTGCGACCTAACAAGATATCAATGGAAATGTTTGTAATTCACATTTAATTTCCTAGATTATTTCTCAAAACAAAGAATATCAAATATAGAAAACTGTTATAGCACTGAACTGACTTAAACTGAACAGTCAAGGAAATTCTAAGTTAAGGACATAATTTTATCTTTAAAATCACTGCAGTGCAATCCAAGGACCTTTGGTTAGAAAAATTATGCTAAGGTCCACAGAAAAACCTCAACTATGAAATTCCTTGCTTTTGAAGATTTAAGTCAGACTTTATTTATAGTCATTTTCAAGCGTGTAAAGGTGAAAGTGAGTATGTGTGAAAAGCACATTCAAAGCATTCCAGCCAGGCCAAGCAAAAAACAGAGGTGTTTTGATAAACTCACACACTTACATACACACGGTGTGAGGGTGAGGCACAAACAGCATCTGTGGTTTTACTTATTTTGTTTGGGTGAAAACAAGAAAGAAGAGCCCAACTACCTCTGAACACTGGGCCAGGCTCAAAATCAAACACTATTTCACTGGGGACAGAATGAAGGAGGGGACTGGGAGTCCGGGATTGGTATTTCCGAAGACAGCGCATCAGCTGGTTCAAAGGGGCTGTTAGAGAGAAAGAGACGGGCAGGCAGAGACAGAAAGACAGACACATAGAAGAAATGAAAGAAGTCATGGGAAATAACTAGGATGCTTTGACTCCTATTCATAGATTGCTTCTGAACTTTGAAGGAAAAAAAAAAAAAAAGTCAATTACTAATAACACTGTTTCAGGACCGGGAATAGCCAATTGTTTTCAGATGCCAAACAGACAGTTTATGATCAAAAGTTAAAACCAACATGATTGCACAACATTTAAATGCTGGACAAAATGGGCAAAACTGTGGAGAGCCACACCTATCAACACATACAAAAATACCTAAAACTGGTAACTTTCAATTAGTAAGCTTGCAGGTTTAAAGGAAATTTCTTTTTCAAAAGTGTTCTGTTGCTGGCATAATTAAAGACAGCTCCATCAAACACAATGCAGTAGGCAGGTAGCATTCTACCAAATACCAGATTTGCATGGGACAAAGAAAGTCAGTGACAGCCCACAAAACAAAATCTTAGAGATCAGGAAAGAGTGCACTAAGGTAATTCAGACCTAACTTATGGCTGAAGCAAGTTATAATTAGTAGGAGACAACTGTGTTACTGATTTAGAGTTGGAAAAACTGTCATACGCCTGCCCTACTTACTACTTCTTTATTTCCTATAGTTTTATTTTATTATTATATTCATAGGAATATAATACAGCACATAAGAAGCCCTACCTGGACTTCAGAAGCCAGTGGGAGAAGTGACTTAACAGGCCTGTGCTCAACATGTAAAGAAAAATAAACTTTCTGGTACTAGTTCTGACTTAACTGTGAATTAGGGCTGCGCATTACCGAAGGAAACACAAAAAAACCTGGCTTTAGTGAAAGGTCCTAAGAACCTGCTTCCAAGAGTAGCACAGGCATGCAGTACAGCAAAGCAGCAACTTCAGCGGGGCAGAGGGGGAGAAGAACTGGAGTATTTTTCACACTGCTTTAGGATGCAGCAGTTCATATGGAAGGCCCGTCTACCACCTCGATGGTTTTCAATAATAAAACCCCCCACTGTTTCCATGGGTGAAAATGTAACAACAGGTGTAAAAATCTCTGAGAGAGACTTGGGAAGTTATAGTGTATCTGTGTGCAGCCATGTGAGTTAATGTGTCTGTGTGTGTGTGTGTGTGTGTGTGTGTAAGAGAGAGAGAGAGAACAAAGTGAGAGTGCAAATTAATTTTAAAACTAAAAAAACTAGATAATACTTCAAAACTTTTTCTCCTTCCATCTCCCCCGCTCCCAGAATGACCAGCAAATGACTCAAATCTTCGTGAGACAAATACTAAGTTCATGGACAAGCAAATGTAAATTCACTTTTTGTTCTAGTCATATTTTCCTTTGTGCCTGTGTTTTGTAGAAGGAAGTAGGGTAACGGGAAGGGACAGAGTGGTTGTGTAATTAAGTGTAACACAGTAGTTAAAATGCTACTTACCTCCCTCTCCTCGTAAACCCTGGTCTCTAATCAATTCCTATAAAAAATTAAAAAAATAATCTGTATTTAATTTAGGTATTAACATTTAGATTCTGGAATCAATTGATATTGATCAATTTGAGAATCCATAATGTCATGTGTTGTCCATGAAACAAAAGTGGTTTCCTATTCTGATTTAATAATAGCAGTGACTCCAAAGAACTACTTATAACAATTACTAAACTTCTCAAAATCAGTTGCTCTAAAACAGCATCTCTCAGTAGTAAAGTGAAATGTACACTACCCAAAATAGATGCTGACATGAAAATATTGATTTAAAAATAGAGGTGGCCAAAATGTGTGAAGAAATATTGAACTAAATGTTCTAGTTACACTGTTTGTGGCACAAATGATTTGAAGTGTCACATTAGAAGCTGGGACATCAATTTCCTGTACTGAGGTACATCAGTCAGACGAGTCCTGCTTCATTTTTTCTTAAAACAACACAGCTGATTTGCATAGCCAGGCGCACTCTGTTCTTCTCAGAAATGACTAACTGCAAAAGGTTTCCTTTGCTTGCAATACACTGTGAACTGAGAGTATCTTTTGCAACTAAAAGCAAACTATGCTAAGGACTTTCTAAAGAGAAGAAAAGCAGAAAATTCTAACAGTTTCCTTCTGTATTCCAACATCATGGAGCTTTTTTTTTTTTTTGTTACACAATTATCTTTGTTCCCTTTTTTGTTACACAATTATATTTGTTCCCTCATACACCTACGCTGCTGCTGAAGGCACTGGCTATGCCTCAGCTGCACCAGTGCCATATATCATATGTAAATGTCTACACAGCCACACTCTTAAAACTAACACTTCACCTTTTCATCAGCTCACATGCAAAACAGATTTTGTGCCTCAGTGTCCAGGCAGACTGCAAGACTATTAATCTGACAAATGAATAATTTCTAGAGAGCAGACTTAAGGGTAAAATACGAACTGTGTGTTTTAGCAAAATTAGAAAGCGGTTGTCGTGATCAACATTTTGAAAGGTTTTAACTGTCCTTACACTAATATCAACCACTATTATTAGTTACATTTCACCATTCAGAGATTTCAAAAAGGTGGAAAATGAGTTAAGTGTAGCTGTTTCTGAACACTCTAAAAGAATGCTCAGAACAACATATACTGGGCTCTTGAAATCCTAAGGTACTATCGGTATATCTGAACTCAGCTTAACTTAATAATTCAATTTTCTTCAATGCCAAAAATGTTACTTGGAATACAAATACTAAAAAACCTCTATTTTGCATAAGAATGTGTTTAACACACAGAATGGCTTGCAAGGGTGGTTACCAGCTAGCAGCTAGCAGCAAGAGCCTTGGGATTAATTACACAAAAAAAAAGCAGTGGTTTGGGGTAAAATGTTTATTTGAAAATGAAAAGGACAGGACTGTCAAGAAGCAGTTCTCCTTTTGAAGAAGGGGTTATTTGTGTTCTTACAGCTCTCAACAGCAAAAATAAATCTAAGAAAAAATGAAAAATGAATGGTCCTTGAAGACTCTGATAGACCACTGAGGATTAGCTTAGAAACACAGCACTTGTGTGCACATGATAAACCTAATGCACTGATATTCAAAATGAACACATCAAATCTACTATTCTTGATCTAATTGTTATTAATACTTACATCAATATTGACTGGCTCAATTGTATTGATGTGGACATTGGGAGCTGAAGAGGATCGGTCGCGTTGCCCAAACTGATTCCGATGGTCTTCATCTGCTGGTCGGAGGGGCTGTGGGATTGGAATGGATTTTGAAGGAGAAGGACTAGGGAGAATTGGTGGTCTGAGAAACAAAGTCAAGGAAAAAGAGGATTTAGGTCTACAAATGGCTTCAAACACTGCATAGTGGGTGTGGTAAGTCCTTTTCAACTATAATAATACATACATAAAAAAACTGATCTAAAGGCCTGAATAAAAACAATTTATAATGAACGATCTCTACTCCCTTATGATCAATTGCAACAACTCTCTGCTGCGTAAACTACCTAATTACATGGCTGTGAAGTGTTCTGAGTTAAAACAAAACAAAAAACTCTACCATGCCATACCAAACTAGTAACAATAAATCCTGATCTGAAAAATTCATGTAGCCCAACATGCACTGCAGATAGAAAGATACTCTGCAGTTTCCTCTGAGTCAGTGCAATACACTCTTTAAAATGGTAACCCATCAAGAACCAAAGATGCTTAACATCTCACATCAATTTACAGTTAGAAAATGGCACAAAACAAACTGTATGGATAGGATTATTGATCAGCAAATATAGACTGAAAATTACATATGGTCATTGAACCTAACTGATTAATAATATGACCAATTATTATTGATACTAAAAATAACATGGCCAATGTTGATGTAATAAAAATCAACATATCACCTTTTAATCTCAACCTGTAAGTAATAACTTTGAATAGTGCAACATTTCAAATGTTATTTACAGTGCAATAGTTAGGCAATGCAATAGGTTTGACTTGAATGATAAGCATTTAGACTACACAGACAAGATTCTTGAAGAAATTTAAACACCGGCAGTCATAAACGTAGATTAAGTCTTCCATTTATTGTATAATGAACTGAATATTTAAAAGACAAAACACCTCTTGGTTTTTTGTTTGTAAAAAGGCAGAAAGTCACTTCTTTGGTTATCTGCTGATTTTGTTGAAGTACAATAAATTGGCAATTATCTCTTACTCTAGTCAAGGTCAGTCCCTGTTAAGTCTAATGATTCAATCTAATGGATATAAGGCAAAAGGTCAATGAAAACATTTGCCAGTTTTGTCAAAGAAAATTTTATGTTAAAGTATATATGGCATCTGACAACAAGGTTTTTAGGAGCGAGGGTTTTTCTTGCCAAGTTCTAAGAGAGGAGTCCTCCACCCATTCAATGACTCATGGATTAATTACTATGCCCACAAAGGCAATGCCCAGGGAGAAGCTTCAGAAATAAAACACAGAGCAGCATACAGCAGCAATAGGTCCTGGAGCCACCTCCTATAAGTAAACACTCCTTGGCCTCTCCAAAGGTATTTAGAGGCAACTAACATTTTCAACAGGATCTCTTGGCATTTTTTAAGAATCAGGTCTGCTTTAAACACTACTATCCTACCTTTCACTGAAGAGTTTATGTAGTTTGGCACTGGTCCCAGAACTCAGTGCTATCTGTATCCTAAGGACTTGTCATCTTTTCCTTCCTAGCCGACAATCTCACAAAATTGAGATTGGCAAAACAAAGCTCTTGTGAATTAATGCAAGCAACAGTCTAGTAAGTCTTGTAGTAAAATACATATGTTTGGGAAGTGTGGCAGGGAAGAAGAGGTAGGGGGTTTAGCCACGCTAATTTTTCAAAAACCAGTTACTTATTGTTGCATGACAGAATATAAATACTGGGAATGCACTTGGTTGACATTTTAAGGTACTTTATTTTCATGTTAAGGCAAGTGTGTCAGATGTTGCACAAAAAAATATAAGAAGTGTAAAAAGTGTCTCAGCCAGGTCAGTACTGGCATTGTTTGGCTAGCTAATTCCTGCTCAAACTTCCTGAGAGTTCTCTGGTAATAAGGAAATTAAGGGAGATGTGTAAGAACATCCCACAAATCATTGCAGTAGGAGTGAGCGTGAGACACTATCTGAGCTCTGCCACATGACGAGGACAGAAGCAACCAGATTTTCTGTGATCATCAGTAACACAACAGAGAGAAAACCAGATTGAAAAAGTATTGTTTCAATTACATCCTCCTTTGAGTCATAAATGGTCATCTGCTGCTTCTGTATTTCTGGGCACAGGTCACCACGTCCATCATGTTGCTAGCACAGATAGCGTGCTATGTCACACATATTGGAAAACAATTTTAATAGCTTTTTCCACTCATTAACTGGGGGAAGTCCAGATCTTTAGTAAATAATTACAGGCTGATAAAGAATTCCCCCCCTTTTTTTTTTTTTCTGAGTCTCTGAACTATTATTGTGAGGGTTTCCGACACCAAGAATCCAGAGAGGGGAACCTCATAAGTACTTAGCCATGTGCTCCATCAGAATTTTATTATTGGGTGTCCTTGGGACACTTATAAAAAGGTAAGTTATTTTTGCTAAATGGGAATTTTGCTTGAAAAAGGGAACTAATGAAGAGAAAGACACAACTGGTTTGCTGGCCAAGATGGCCTACTGAGATCACAGGCTCAGAGGTTATACCACCAGCTTCTGCCTCTGTGTGGCAAAAGCTATATCTTGATCTGCATTGAGATCTTGATCTATCAAAGCACATTACCCCCAAAAATACAGCAATCCTCTGAACTACCAAAAGCCTGTTTGTACAGTATTCCTACATTTTAATTGCTCTAGAAGAGCAGAAGGGACACTGGAGCTACAAGGACAAGCCATCATCATTTGGGAAAGGGTGACATTGTCTATTCCAGGCCAGTCCCAAAACTTGTTCTGTAGGCTATGAAAACACATTGGTCAAAAAAAAAATAAAATAAAAAAATCAAGAGGACCAGAACAACTCCTACAAAGAACTGTTTACTGTGACATACACGTACAGCAGGCTGAGGCTTAAAGGAGCCTCAATCTGAATACCAGGATCTGAGTTTCTGTTGTTCCTGTGGACCTTGTGAGCTGTTTACAGTCACCCCCCTAAAGGAGACCTTCTACAAATAAGATCAATATTGGAGTGGTTATACTACCTCATCTTGACCACTTTCTCCCAGACTCTTAGACGTGGGCATTCCTTCAACAATGATTCTCAGCTTCTGAGACAACAGGGTGATAATTGCCAAATCTCAATTTAACGTTATAACCTTTCCTGACAATATGACCAAACTTTTACCTTGGACCATGTATCTGAGGGAAGTACATTGTTCCCTCCCTTTTTATCAAGACAGAGCAGAAAGAGGTTTTGTCAGGAGACAAGAATAACTGAATATAAGGTTAAAATTTTTATACCCTTTAGCAAGCATAGTAAACACCAATGGGTCCACAGATTTACTATTCCACAAAACTGGATCCACAGGAAAGAGTAAGGTAACTCAGAGAAGTGCCCACGCATGGTACATTACATATGAACAAGCAATTTTATAAAATCATATACAGTACCTCCACTAGATTTAGAAATTGTAATGATATAAGTTAGTTCACTTTACAAATACAAAAGAAGATTTTTATACAGATTTTCTGCAATCTCCTTTAACTCATCAATGTGATGTTTCATAAATGTTTAAGAGCTGGTCTACTCAGGAAAGATTTTTCTTAAAATACGTTTGTTTGGGCTTCAAGTTTTTTTGCCCATACTTTTATTTGCTGCAGTTGGGCAAAGGCTTAAACTGAAAATTCAGTCACTCCAATTATGAGGCGTGTGCCAGTTCCTTTGTGAATGGACTGAGATCTTCCCTATTCCTCTTCTAGCCTGAACAAGTCCATCTCAGTTTAGCCACAGGGCTCAGTGCTGTATGCACTGTTCACCTGTAGGTTGTACAGTCATACCTAGGCCAAATCTAAAATGTGTTTTAAGGCACTTTTTTTGATTAATTTTGCTTACACCAGAGTATGACTGGATTTGGTTTTTGTTACTGCTGTTAATGAAGAACACAGTGCACTTCCATTTTCAGGAAGCTTCTAAAGACTGCTAAGGATCTGGGATACAATAATATTTCAGCTAGTGATTCAATTATCATAGTACTCCACAGATATTGCCAGAACACATATTTTTTTTCCCAACTCTGCAGCCTTGAAATATTCAATAACCCCAAATCAAATGGAGATTTGGAGAAAAGGACAGCAGTATCCATTTGTAACTACAAGGTGAAGATCACTCTTGCAGCACCCTTTGAAGTCAGTCTAGAAGTAACACGAGACACTTCTGTAACAGTCATTACCTCATAAAAATCAGTGCAGTTTTCTATACCATGATAACTTGTTTTCATCCATGTTGGCTTGTAGGTGAAAAAGAACTGCCAGGATTATCACAACCGTGTGCATTTATTTGTACTGGCCCTTGGGCCCAGATCAGAGCTGACAAGCCTAACATTTCCAAAAGCTTCCTACACCAGGGGTTATCAAGAGAATCACACTGCTGTCATTAGTCCTCCAAACTAGGTTTCAGTTCACTAGCGTGTTTTTCTAATAAAGTTTTGGAGAGCAAGAGGTTTTCCCCTCCTGTTGTACAGGTTAGAAGCAATTTTTCTAAAGATTCTGGTACCAGACCTTTTCTGCTCAGCAAGAATGTGTATCAAGTTGTATTTTGTAGGAACTTTGGGAACATTTACATGGAAAGGCCTGGAAAAGATTCGGACAGCATTTTTAGGGGAAAATTTGTTTTATGAAATAAAACACAAAGCTTTTGCTCACTTAAACACCACGGGATCTAAATGCCATTGTAGTACTAAATACAATATTCTAAGACTGTGGCTTTGCTTCCTTGGCTTTTCAGAAGCTTTTCTAGACATTTAAATATCTTTGGCTGAGGCAGAATGATCAGTGAACATTTGGAAGACAGAAAGGAAAGCAGAGGTGTTTAATCACAGGCTGGAGCCTGCTCAAAGGCAGGGACTGGCAAGCTTCCAAGAACGGTGCACCAGACATTCCCTCTTTCTTCCTCCAACTTAGAAGATGAAGCATATTGGGAAATGTTGTTTTTCAAAGAGTCAAGATGTTGCCAACTTGCCTACCAGCAGCGTTCTGCCTGGAGCAATGCAGACGTTTTTGGCTTTTACCAAATGCAACCTGCCCCTGTGCTATTCCAAGTGTGACCACATGCCCTCTTACACCCACTCCACAGGTTACTTACCCTGCCATAACACCTGCCTCATGTGTGTGCTGAGTTTTGTCCAACATCACAACATCTAAGAGAACAGATCAGAGTTGAAAAAGACAAGTTTGGAATATTCTGAATGGCTAATCTCTCCCTTATGTAGGTATTTGAGATCGAGGGAACTGGGTTCACAGAAATTCTGTGCTTGTATTTTACGAGCAAAGATACAGAAGAAACTTTATGACAGTGCAATGAACAAAACAAATACAATGTATCATATACAGTTTGCTTACTTCAATTTTATTACAAATGGCTCTTATTAGGAAGACCTACACTTCTTGTACTTCTTTCCAGTTAAGTGCAGATTATAACTAAAATGGTTGCTTTAGCACAAGAGGAGAGTGCAAATGGAAAGAACTAAAATGGGACACAAGACCTAATGTGGAGGCTGGATACACTTTTATAAGGGGTTCAGAGATGTGCAAGTGGGACCGTATGTGCTCCCTCATCTTTGGGTGGAACACCTGGAGGGACTGCCTAACGCTTTCAGTTGGAAGAATGAAAGGCTACAGGACTGGATTGCTTTAGGATGTTACACATGACCAAAGTGAAACAGTTCTCCAGCATGTTTAGCAGCTTTTGCATCATGTCCAATGGTCTTTTCCTTTATGTCCCTTTCTCTTTCAAACTTTTCCATTTGATCCCTTGACAATGTCTCAGCATGTCACACACGCCTTTGCTCTCGAGCTTGTCTTGCAACACAAACTTCCTTTCCTTGAGCACCTTGCCTGCTGCTGGAATCCCTTCACAAGGCTAGAGATGAAGAAGGATGTTTGCCTTCTCTTTCCTCAGGTTTACCAAACGATTAGTAACATCCCTTCCTCTGTGGGCTGAGCCATGCAAGATGCTAGGAGAACAGAGAAATCAAAGGAACAATTATTAATCTAGTAAGCGTTATTAAAGCGCTAGTTCCTCATATTTTACATCCCATTGCTCAACTCTCAAATTTCAATCCCTTATTCTCCTCCCAGACAAGATAATCTCAAATGGCAGCCCTTTTTTTTTTTGTTCCACTTGAGCTGTTGTCCCATATTGCAGCAATACCCTTTAACAAAACCACAGGTAAGTACATGTTTTTATGGAAAAGGTCAGCTTTTTAAATTCAGACAAATTAATCTTTCCAGAATTATGTTTTTAAAAAGCAGAGAAGTATTACTAAAGAAAGGCAAAAAGATACCTGGAAAAAGGTATGGACAGTGCCATATGCTCATATAATAACATCTGAGCTAGTTCTGGAAAGGAAATACTGCACACACAGATGTTTAGAGAAAATCTCCTGACTAACATGCATACTACTTACAAACACCAGCTGATAATCATAAACCATTTTCAAAGTGAACATAATTTTGCAGACATGATGTATGCTTTTTTTTTTCTTGTTTAACAATGGCAAAGCAAGAAAGCAAAAAGGAGGAAGCCAGACACCTTTTACAGCTTCTGCAATTACAAACATTTACAGATGCAACACTTGGGAAAAGCGCCTTAAAACCAATTGGCAAGTATATTTAAAAGTTAACATTTTTATAGATGTTAAGTTAAAAACCTTAAGGCATTAACCAGCTTTGGTTTCAGCTTTTCCTTTCCATTTTCACTTCACAAAACTGAGACTGATTGAAGTCTTATCAATTAAGATAATCCATACTGTTGTATCTTCATAAACGGGTAAGAATGGACTAATGTGAGGCAAAGACAATTAAAGAGCAGAATAAATTTAGAGTATTAGGATTAGGGCTATATAGTGCCTTTGGCATCTGCTGCTGTTTAAAACAGTTGGTATGGACAAGTTTTTTCATGGATTAATAGTTCTAGCCTGGTTATAATTTCGGCTGTACCATGAGAAAGGCAGAGCCTGCTGCACTTAAGAGAACCATAACAGCCTTGTCCATAATCTGCTGTACTAACATCCATGGGATATACAGGCAGCATCTACTACCCGGAAGAAGTACTTTTGAATTTACTTGAATCTGCACATACAATATAGTACAAATAAGAAGATAATCTCTGTACTTACCAAATGAGGTTCCCTCTGCAGGACTATCAATCTATTTTCCTGGGAGGCATTATATTTGATCTTCCATAAAATAGTCTTGGCTGTCCAGAGAACTTATCTTCTAGTTAAGAGTCCATAAGCGCCTGTGTAGCTTCCAGTTTGTTTCTGCTTTAGTCTGGGCACAATGTTCACTAATCCAGAGGAGCCTCTCTGCCAATTTCAGCCCAATTCCACGCAGCACACATGTCCTGGGGATAGTTTTCTGAAGGTTTTTGTATTTGGTGTTCTTAAAAAATCTGCATCAGGTTTCTTGACTGTGATACATATCCCTGAGTTACTCTTCCCTGGAGATTTGTTCAACTACCTAGTGCTGGATGGTGTCACTGATCTCCTTGCTACTGGGAACATCATCTAAATAAGGTCACTTATCTCTTCAAGGAAAAAGGGTCCAGAATCTTTGTTGGAAATACACGGGGGATGGTCAGTTTTAGAGGTCTAATTCTGCAAAACCTGAAGCTGCAGCAAACAGATGCTATTGGTATATCCCAACATGAACAGGAGGAAGACAGCTGGTCTGCAGGATCCTAAAGCAATGTGTATGTGGAAAAGCTACTAAAGCAGTATTATGGATCTGGACTTGGCCCCTGTTCACACCAACCTTACAGTGATGTGGTTTACTCTGAAACTGAGGTATGTCACTTCAAGGCAAATAAACTGTAGTTCGATAACCAATTAATTAATTAATTTTAAGTATAAAATCTTTCCAGTTTAGACCAGGTCTAAGTCATCATGTAAAAGCAATCAGTTTAACAGGGAAGGCCTCAATTCTACAAACAGTTACATACATATTTAACTTTGGTTCATTACTAATTTATATCATTTCTGTGAATGAAAACATTCACTTCTTTTAAGTTAAGCATAGGTGGATATATTTGTATGACAAGCCAGATTACAAAAATATAAAAGTTGCAAAGCAGTATTTTGAATGTTTCTAAGCATAGTACTGAAATGTTATGTTATTAAACAGCAGGAATAAGGTCATACCCAACAGAATCTGAGGGGGGCACTGAGGGGTACGATCCAGATGCTGGGGTGGTCTCTCCTAAGGAGGCCTCCTCTGGTGGTATGGGGTGATGTTCAAAGAACTTGGAGACAAACAGCAAACTGTGAGGCAAGAACAAAACAAAAACAACCTAACTTGTGCAAAACCCAGAAGCTTCACAATATAACACTCAAAGACTACAAGACACTCCCAAAAGCTCACTGATCAGAGTCTAAATTTTAAAATAAAGATTACATTTACACGCTAAATCTGCAAGATTTGTTAAAAATATTATTTACTTTAGAGAGGATCAGAAGATCATGCCTTAAACATAACCTTTGTGGAAAGTAATTTTTTAATCTTTTAGTTGGATTGCAAACATCTGGTTCCTCAAGAATGCACAACCTATACCTATATAGAGTACATAAACTTATTTTAACATTTGCTCTGATGTAATGCCAAAACCCAAATGTCAAATGGATACAACTACGTAATCCATAAACCCTGAGCACAAACTCTAGAGATGTCTATGTAAACAGTTACAAACATAAAATGAAACTAAATTAATTCTTGGGGGAAAACCCAGCATTTTAAATTATTCATTATATGAAAATCTATTTAGAAGACTCAATAGCCTCTTCTAAAACTATTGAAATAGATCAGTAACTTGATTCAAGAACACGACTGTTTAGGACATTTTCTTTTATGTTTCTTACCTAGGCATTTATCTTGCTAACAGATTAGTTTTCAGTCTCTGTAAAACCAACTGCAATTTCACTATATTCAACTGGTTGAAGAGAATAAACACAGAGCTAAAAATTTAAACAGAGGCCCGAGCCATCACATAATAAAGAACCAGTTTTGATTAATAATAACAACTGTGAACAATAAGAAGTCTGTCTGATATAGTCAAGTGCTCAGCAACCCTACTCATGCTTCAAAGAAAGCATTTCATAGTCCAGCAAAGAAATATGAACTGGTTGTCTGAGTTAGCACAGAAAGAATATGAATTAAGCAATTTCACAAGAACAGTGGAACCCCTATATTTTTTTTTCAAGCACTTTCTCTGACTTCCTCAATTCCAGATTTAATGTAAGAAACCACTGACAGCTGCAGACTTATTAGAAGGCTCGACTTGAAAACCAATTGTGATTACTTACTCAAGTTGGTCATAATTAACACACATCAGTGGCACTTCTGTACTACAGCGCTGGTGAAATTTGTAGCCACACGTCTGGCACCGGAACCCCTGGAAAAGCAGCTTTCGGCAGAAGTCGCAGAACGCTAACGTGAAGAAGGTTTTTCGTACCTACGTTGTAAGACACAGTCACAATTACACAGAGTCCTTCTGTAAACCTGAGACAGGCTACCTGCTTTTGTCTCCCCCCCCCCTACAGTTTTATGTATCAGACAGATTTGCATAAAAGATTGTCTCTTTTTTGAAACAGTATTCGTGCATTCAAATTCTGACTGTTTATTGGAATTAACGCTTCACTTCATTAGCAATAAGAAACACAGCAGCAAATCTGAAGCAAAACGTCACTATTATCGTGCTAGGGACAAACATTCAGAATTTAATTGGATACAACCTATAAAACCAAAAGCTGCTGAAATATTATCTTCCGATTTTTCCAGGGGCCAAATAACATTTCTATCCAACACTCACAGGACTGGAAATACACATATGGTTTATATATAAGGCTTCAATGTATGGTTACATACATAGTTGTAATTTTGATTACTGAAACTCAAACACTTAGAATCACAAAAGGGTGATCATGTGTGATCCCCAAATTACAGGAGGGAGAAATGATTTATTTAATTTTCTATTTTAGCAATATTTGGCATAAAAACACATTCTAGCTCTATTACTACCTGTAATGATCAAAATTTCAGAAGGATACTAAAAAAATGTTAAGCCTACTACATTTCATCTAACTAGCCACAGCCAAACTAGATTGAGTAAAATATTTTAAGCAGCTTGCAGATAAAATTTTGGTATGTTTTAAATTGAAATAGAAGGTCTTTCTTCCCAATGTGACAAACATTATTTCCAGGATTTTGTATGTAGCTGGTACCATTTAGATGGATTTTGTTTAGCAGCTTCCATTTACTTGGTGCCTTATCAGGTCAAAACATATTTGTGCTCTAGCATCATTGATGATGTCAGCACTGCTCTGGGAATAGTTAGTTCATTAGTTAATTGCTGCTGCAGAGCCAGCAGAGAGGCCTAGAATACATTTTATAGATACAGCAATACTAAAATAGTAGATTGTTATTACAGCTCTGCAATGCAGTGCTGACTTAACCCCCCTACATTTATAGATTTTAGAGGGTGTATTCCATCCAAACCTTAAGAGTTTTAAGGGTGATCAAGTACTCTAACATCACTTACTTCAAATACAATTCTATCTAATTCACTTAAGCTACTGCGATTAAAAACCTTTTCTGCAACTCCCACCACATGCCACAGATAGAAAATATTCCAAGTTGCTGATTTGAATTTGAAAGTACAAAGTTAACGTAACCCTACTCAGTATCTCACAAAAAGGAACATACGAAATTGTGTGTCGTGAGTGGCACATTCTCCAAGACTTCCACATGCAGCTCCTCTCCCGTGAGCCAGGAAATGTCTGTGTCCCAGCCAATTGGCTTCTTCTCTCTAAAGTGCAAATAAGCCTCTCATTAGCATCGGAGCACAAGCCCTTGCACGTCTCTTGCCCAAGTTGTGAGATCAGCTAAAATGTTGCACTGTGGGGGGGGTTTGCTACTCAGGCTCCAAATGCCGGAAACTTTAAAGGCAAGACATGAAGCTCAGCACCCAGCAAATAAAGCACACCCTCCCTGGACAGACTGCATGAAGGAAATGCACTTTTTTCCAGTCAGCTCCAGTAGTAGCCAATTCCTTGGTTCCAAGGTGACGGATGCCTTTCTGATCAAATAAAGTGTTTGTGAAAGTACCTGTTGTGTAAGAGTTCCACGGAGATGGCTAGCTGTGTGCAGTAAAACAATCTACAAACTTTTTAGGGCTAAAAACTCTTTTTTTCCCCCCCCAAGGGAATTCTTGCTTTTAGTTAAGAATGCATTATAACCAAGTGAAATAAAACCAAGAAGTTAACACAACCTATTTAATACTTGTTTGGCTAGCATGAGTTTGATTAATGACTGTTTTACCAGCAGTCTATAAGCCCATATTACTCAATATTAAGCCTGAGCCTTTTTCTAGAAGTTTGCCATTCTTTCCAACATGTCTTTGAGGTACAAATTGTTCTAGTGAAAAGTATCATATAATTCTCAACTTCGAAAAACAGCTTCCACAATGCTGGATAGAACTGGCCATACTGGGTAGCTCCAGTGAGATTCTAAGAACAAAAGGTCATCCCACACAAACCATACCCATCTTGTATTCTGTAAACAGCACAGCATTCTGGAATAAGACCTCTCATCATCAGCGCTTTCTTTAGGCTGTCTCGGACTGTCACTCCACATCTTGCTGGAACCTAGAGGTCAAACAGGAAAGAAATGAATTAAAACAATTTCCAATTTATCTCCCCAAACTGATGCAAACATTTTGACCCTCAAGTGCTAAAACCCACTCCTCATGATACGTTACAGAATGGTAGGTCAGAGTTTTTCAAAACCTTTTTTGTAGCGGGGAAAACTTTTGTTTGGTGAACAGTATACGTGAAATAGAGCTCAGAAGAGAGAACAAGCTCTACACTTCTGCTAACATTTGGAATGAAATCTTCATTCAGCTCTAGAAGTGACTTTCCAACTTTTTTCAACTGGAAGAAACTGGAGACCCAGCACACGCATAGCTAGTAACTACATACAGCTATAATTTTACAGCCTGGCCTCAATTCCAGTGGGGAAACGTGCCAAGTGAAATTAAGTGAAGGAACTAACTTGGACTGCATTCAAAAAAACATTACTATAAAATGTAAATATTTTATTTTCTATTTCTAAAACAGAAGATAAGCATGCAAACAAGTAAAACAAAACAGTTATCCGAGTCAGGCAGACCATTACCTCTCACTTTAACCTATATTTGCAACTCTGCAATACTTCTTATACGAAAAACATATTCCTCTCTTCTGTTTCACTGTTTGAAAAGTTTAGATATCTAACAGGATGGGAAGAATGGAGGAGCACACTAAAAGTAGCCAAACAAAGAACTGCAAACTATGTAAAGATATTTTCCTTGCCTCTATTCTAGCTGTAGGCATATCTTATATGAGTAAGTACATCATCTCGAGGTATACCTGTGGTGTAGGCATACAATTGTATACAATCTAGGTACATACCTACACAGTGTCAAGCCATAAAAAAACCCCCCAATACGTATTCTGTTGGTTAAGTGTAGTTAAGGTGTTGAAAATTATCTATTTACTATTTCTAGAACTCAATAGTGAAAATATGTAAGACTTCAGGTGCTGTACATACTGGGACATCTCCTATAATCATGAACAGAACTTCAAAAACAGATCAGAAGGAAAACTCACAAACTCAACAAACACAAGAAGCCTATCTGAACATCTGAAACTCAATTCTAGCTTGCTAGTGGCTTAAGCCAGAGCCCTCGGCAGACAAATGCAGTCCTTTAATCAGCTTCAACTGGCTTTGGATCAGAGCCTAGTTTTCACCCCTTGCACTTAACTTTCCATGGGTATTTAGGGGTTCTATGTCCTACTTAAGGATGACAGTGGAAAGTACCTTTGTGAACACCACTTGAGGTTACGCTATATATTGCATCTCTAGAACTCAAACAAATGCTCTTTCAGAAGAGACAAAATAAAGCAATATTTTGCTTCGCCATCTTCCTCCCGTTAACATGGAAGTGCTTTTTACAGGATATTTGTGCATTTCATCTGGTCAACACAAACATTTTAAAAATAGAATTTATCTTAATTCCTTGAAAAAAACATCCTATAGCACACTGCTTTACAAACTTGATACTCAGCCTTAAGTGACTTTGGTTTACACACTGCATTCCTGTTTAATGCATCTTTTTATTAATCTAAGGAATCCCAGAAGTTAGCACCACAGCTTTCAGTCACTTGTAGGTCATTCCTGCAGCATAAAATGTCCTTAGTCGTTACTAACACCCATCACTGATATTAAAAGGGAGCCTGGGAGCCCCTATTATCATTAATAAGGTCAACAACATTCCATTGCAAAACTCAGCCCTCTGTTGCTTAGGTCTCTTCCAAAGTAATTGTTCACACCAAAACCAACTGTTCATAGGGTCATTCTGTGACTGGTACTCCCTACTCCCAATCTCTGGAAACGTGGTCAGTATAAACAGCATCATTTTATGAGGCAAGCAGCCATTCCCTGTGACTGAGCGAGTCGTGTTTGCTCTCTTTCCCCTCATTATCAACCCCTGAAGGTCCTGGCAACCAAGGAGACAAAATGAAGAGATTTCTTCTTCCCCTCCCTACAGGCTTCAAGGTTTCTGGGTGCCAGGCTGGCTGCTCCCTCCCTTGCCAGCCCTCAAGGTGCCAGGCCACCCAGGTGGTGGTAATGGCCTGGCCACAGAACATGGGAGTCTCAGAGCTCCCAGGACACTCTCTATAAATCGAGCAGCCCCCAGTCCCAAGGGAGGAACTTGGACTGGAGATGCTGCTGGACACTGAGATCTGGGACCTGCCAGTGCCCAGGGATGTCCTCTCCTTCCTCCAAGGATTGAGGGAGTGACTCATATTCTTTTATATGAATGGTGAGTCTAGATTATGATTGTTATATTGATATGATGTATTAAAGATTAGTCTTGATCCGCAAAGGGTCCAGAAATAAATGAGGTTGTATTATAAATTCTGTATTATGCTACTTATAAACCGTACAATACTGATTCTGCTTGTAAAAATCACGTGCCATTCTAATCATAAATTCTCTGTTAATATCTTGTTATGAAAATAATTACTTAATTGTAGCTATGATTAGTGCCATGATCATCATTCTGCCAAGGATCCCTGAAAGAACCTGTCTGTGTCCTCAGTGTCGGGTGACAAGTTCTCCTTGCCTACAACGTATATACATATTTACAAATACAGAGTAAATATTTTTAAGAATCTGACTAAAATCTCTGAGGATTTCAGAGTGTCCTCCAACCTCCCACACACATTAGGTCCAATCATGAGCCATTTTGATGGAGCAAGCAAGTGTTCTTTGGTTCAATGCTATTTTTCCTCTAAGTATAGCTCCTGTTGGATTGAGGTTGACTCCCCACAGACAATTCAGGTCTACCTTTCCAGCAACCTCAGTCATTTCACCACTGATATCCACAGTAGAAGAAGAAAGTGAAATACTAAGAAGGTGACAGATGGACAATGGGGACAAAAAGGGAAATGAAGAGAACGAGGAAAGTGGTTGGGCATGAGGCAGAAATGGGAGGGGAGAGTCAGGACAACCTTAAGAACTGACCAGAGAAAGTACGTGTCTACTGGGAGAGGGAATTGCTATCAGCAAGTTGGTGGGAAACAAACACACAGGACAGAGGGAAGACTGTCTGAAGAGCTAAATGAGGCAGAGGACAGGAAACAAAGATGTAATGGGGAACCTTGTAGGGGAGAACGGGTTGCCAACAGTTGGAGAAGTATTGGAAGCACATCCTGAACAGGAAGCTTTCATGCTGTGATTAGGAGAAAAGATGGTTTGTTTTGGATAAGGAGCATCAGAGGGAAGGAAGTGCCTAAAAGAAGCCTTAGAACCCAGCACAGATTGGGAAGAGGTTCTAGCTCAGGCAGAAAACTCCAAGGCAGTAAGTATTAAAAGAAACCAGGTTAGTAAAATCTTGACCTAGGTGAGGGAATAGAACAAGACGAGGAGGAAAAGCCAAGCAGATGGAAGGTGACTAACATTAAACAAGAGATAAGGAGTCTTGGGCTCACTGGAAGATATTTTCTTCCTCCAGCATTCCATAAATGATGACAACATCCTCCAGTAACTCATGAAGCAAAGATCTGCATCAGGAACCTAAAAGTTCCAATGCTGTTAATGAATTACACTGGTGTAAATAATGCCATTTCAGGTGATTTCTATTTTTTTTTCCCTTTTCATTTTGCCAAAAATCAAGATCTGTGAAGTCACAGGGTTTCTTTTAAGAGATTAATAAAGTCAGAAATGCAAACCCTCAAAACTTGGGAAGTATCAGAATGAAGGTTGCCTCCAGCAATGTAAGCACAATAGGATTATGAAAAATGTGCATTAAACATCTTGCTCACTCATAATTTGCTATTTCTCAGTAATACTTCCCCAAGTCTCCTTCATTAAAATCCAAGCCATATTTATGCAACTTCCAATTAGAGACACGGGTAGAACATTTGTTCTCTTCACTGCCATTTGCAACAAGATCCAGCTAAAAACCAGAGAATTGTTTTGATTACTTTCAAAAATCACCACGATCCTGAATCAGCATCACATTTAGAAAATTCTCCTACAGAACTCCTGAGCAGAGAAACATAAGGCTAAATTAAAAGAACTTAGTGCTAGAATAAATCCTTGTGGTATTGATTAATCATTTTCCCAGACTGGTACAGCATGGTCTGTCACCATCTGTGCATGCAGCCCTTCAGCCCCCTCCTTCAGTCCCTATTAGCACCTGCTGTAAAGCAGAAATACCACCCCACAAAGCACTCCCTCTGAAACTTCTTCCTGCCCCCTCCCCTTTTTAGCCCCAAAATACATCAAAGTTAAAGAAAAACCCCGCTCCAAGAAAGTAATTTGGAGAGCAACTCAGAATTAAGAAAAAACCCCAAACAACCCAATTTTTTCCCCAGCTAACAGACTCTGAAACAGGAATTTCGGAACAGCCTCTTGCTCACCCCCAGTCAGAGGGAGGGTGTGCAGCCCCACAGAGAGCTCAGAGAGCCGGAGCCCTGCAGTGCCCCACACAGGGAGCCCCGGCTGCCTGCCAGGAGCCGGCAGCTCCCGCACGGCAGGCAGGCACCACGGAGGGTTTATCGATTCCATCAAGGCTTTTGTCAGGGTTCCCACAGAGCATTTGAACTCAATCACATCAGCATTTTTTTGACAAAATCAGTTCCTCATGAGAATGTTTCTCATCTGCTCCAAAATACGCGTTCTTATGACTGCAGCCCAGTAAACTGAACAAAGTTTGCATTTTATTGAAACACAGAGTGCTTAATTTTATTTCAAATCCATTTAGTGACATCCCTTATCTTTTTGTCTGTTTTATAACTAAGAGACTCTAAGTACATTTCACAACGATTAGCATCCAAAAAAGTCACGTTACTGAACTAGGGGATGTACTTCCAAATTGTGATTTCTAAGGGCTTTCTTTTTAGGATACTTATATACCTAAGATTTGTAGATCAGAAAAGGTTTAGGCTTTTATAGCAACTTGAAAGTTGATTCAGAAACTTTCAAAAGTGAAGACTATGAAATAGTGTGGGCTATACAATACTAAGGAATAGTAGAGAAGCTGCCAACAGAGACTGTGAGGTGTGTTCAGTGAGTAGTTAAATATACTGGAGAAAGT